TAGGGCTTAGGGCTTAGGGCTGAGGGCTTAGGGCTGAGGGCTTAGGGCTAGGGCTTAGGGCTTAGGGCTTAGGGCTTAGGGCTTGGGGCTTAGGGTTCGGGGAGCCCACAGAAGCCGGCCTCGTACGGGTCGTTGTCGCCTCAGCACCCAAGAATGCCCCCAAAGGTTGAGGAACGTGTGTGCTGAGCTTGGCTTAAGGTTAGGGTGTAGGGTGTAAGGTGTAGGGTTTAGGGTGTAGGGTTTAGGGTTTCGGGTTTAGGGCTTTAGGGCTTTAGGGTTTAGGGCTCCCCTAAACCCTCAGCCCGAAACCCTAAACCCGACAACTTCTCCTCAAGGTCAGGGCAGCCCTCTCTGATCTGCAGCCCAGCTGCACTTGGTTGGGGGGATCAGTCGGCTAAGCCCGCTGTTGTAGCCGGGCGCCTCGGCTCTCTGAGGGTGTTGGGTTTTGGGGGTGCTGGGGTTTTGGGGTAAAGAGATCTTGGGGTTTAGAGGTTGTGGGTTTAAGGGTTTTAGGTTTTGGGGTTTAAGAGTTTAGAGGTTTTGGGGATTAAGGGTTTAGAGGTTTTGGGGTTGAAGGGTTTAGAGGTGTTGGGGTTTAAGGGTGGGCAGAGTGGGCCCCTTGATTCCCAGGCCTGATTGCCGGCAGCCACCAAGGCGGCGATGTAGCAAACCTGCTCGGAAGCGCGGCAGCTTGGCGGAGGGGGGGATGCTTAGCCAAGACCAGGTTGGGGGATTAAGGTTGAGGACTTGAAAGCAGTTCTAGACGTATTTGGGGTTTAGGGTTTAGGGTGTAGGGTTTAGGGTTTAGGGTTTAGGGCTTAGGGCTTAGGGCTTAGGGCTTAGGGCTTAGGGTTTAGGGCGGGATTACGTAACCAAGTTTTCGTACTTCAACAGGCACTCTGGGAGCCCAGGGCACACTCCCAGAAGCACGCCAAGAACCCCTCCCCCCCTCTTGGCCTGTCTCCTGGTGTAGGACACATACTGCTGCCAACCAAGCTGGTCGCTCGCAGAGCCCCCTGCGCAAGAACACCCCTGAGCCCTAAACCCAAGCATGTCTTAACTTGGTAAAATGTAGATATACACCCCCTACTTGCCTCCGCCTAGTTCAAGATCAAATACCCTCTTCCAAACCCTAAACCCTAAACCCCAAACCCTAAACCCTAAACCCAACAGGGACCATGATTTCAAAGAGGCCAACCAAGATGCACCTTCAACGAAAGAAAGAAAGAACATCGGCGAGCCTGCGGGAACCTGAACATGGCCAGGCCTGGGCAGCGAGGGTGTTTTTTTGTGTTTCAGCTTCCGGGTTTAGGGGTTTAGGCCCTAAACCCCTAAACTTTAGGGGTGTAAGGGGTTTGGGTCGGTTAGGGGTTTAAGGGGATTGAGGGTTTAGGGGGTTTAAGGGATTAGGGGTTTAGGGATTTCTGGTAGGAGTTTAGGGGTTCAGGGTTTACTCGGTTTAGGATTTTAGGGTTTAGGGCTCTTTCATCTGCCCGGCTGCGAGCCCCCGAAGGGCGAGGGTGCCGCCAGCAACTGCGCCGTGTAGTCCGAAAGAGACTGGGCATTGACACTCTGGCCGCCCAGGGCCTCTTTGAATGAGACCTGGGAAGTGGAGGAAAGGGGCCTTATAGGGATGGAGGTTCTTAGGGTTGTTAAGGGTTTATAGGGGCTTAAACTTGGGATGTTCCCCTTAAACTAACAGTCCTCAAACGAAATTTATGGTACCCCGATTATAATCCCTGGTAACGACTGTTAGTATAAGGGGGAACATCCCAAGCATAGACGGTTTAGAGGACTTCGGGGTTTGCGTGCAACCCCCCCCCTGCCTGCATGTTGGGCCAGATCTGGTTGATCACGTACACCGGCACCCGGTCATGCGCGATGCCGAACCAGACGTCTCTGGATGCCCCACTCGAGCCTCACAGCTCCCGGGCGCAAGGTTTAGGGATTAGGGTTTAGGGTTTGGGGTTTAGGGTTTAGGGTTTGGGGGTTAGGGTTTAGGGTTTCGGGTTTAGGGTTTAGGGTTTAGGGTTTAGGGCTTAGGGTGTAGGGTGTAGGGTTTAGGGTTTAGTCAGGGCTTCGGGTTAGGGGATCGCGGCCCTCAAGGAAGCTTGGGGCGCCATGCATCCAGGACGCTGTAGAAGCCAGTACCAGCGGAGCCCTGGAGCTGGGTGAAGTCCTGCGGGCTGCTTTTCGTCTGGTTTTTGGCTGCTTTTTGCATAGGGTTTAGGGTTTAGGGTTTAGGGTTTAGGGTTTAGGGTTTAGGGTTTAGGGTTTAGGGTTTAGGGTTTAGGGTTTAGGGTTTAGGGTTTAGGGTTTAGGGTTTAGGGTTTAGGGTTTAGGGTTTAGAATTTAAGATTTAGGGTCGCACCGGTCCCCCGACGCAAGGCCCAGATCCCCAAGCTGGCGACAAGAAACCAAGAGTCCAGCAGTCCTTTGCTTCTGTGCCCACGGCTCCAGGGTACCTGGCAAACTTGACTCCAACATACTCGTGCTCCCAAGGCATGGGGATTTCATGCTAAACATATATAATATCCATAGGTGTAAATGGTATTTTACTATATATATATATATATGTATATATATATATATATGTATTTATTCACTTACTTACTTATTTACTTATTTACTTATTACTTATTAGCTTATTTACTTATTTACTTATATACTTAATTACTTATTTACTTATTTAACTATTTACTTATTTACTTATTTACTTATTTACTTATTTACTTATTTACTTATTTACTTATTTACTTATTTACGTATCTACGCATTTACTTATTTACTTATTTACGTATTTACGTATTTACTTATTTACTTATTTGTTTATACCATGACAAAAAATACAGAGTCTTCGGTGGTGATGCCGACATGCGGACACCTGGTCCACCTGAAAGGCCTGCATATGCTGAACTACGGACCCTAAACCCTCAACCCCAAATCACCCCGCAACCTGAAACCCTAAACCCTAAACCCTCAACCCTCAAGCCTAAACCCTAAACCCTAAACCCACACCCTAAACTCTAAACCGGAAACCCTAAACCCTAAACCCTAAACCCTAAGCCAACCCAAACCACTCTACTACAGGCCTGGCCTCCACAACAGGAGCGCCAAAGCACCCGCCAGGGCCAAGAAGGCAGCGGCGAGCCGCCGGCCACGACCAAAGCTTGCGGCCTTCCCCCAACTTGGAGGTTCAGGGCACTTATGAACCAACTACCCTAAAAACCCTAAGCCCTTGAACCCTCAACCTGACTTGGAGGTTCAGGGCACGTATGAACCAATGATAACTGTACTTAGAACCCACTTCTGAGCCCCTTAAGTGCCCCAATATTCTTATCGTTTGGGTTTTCTAGTACAGTTACCATGGGTAAGTAAGTACCCTGAACCTCCCGGAAGGCATCTGGAACAAGCAGATCGGGTCTTCTTCCCCCCCCCCCTCGGGTTTAGGGTTTAGGGTTTAGGGTTTAGGGTTTAGGGTTTAGGGTTTAGGGTTTAGGGTTTAGGGTTTAGGGTTTAGGGATATGGGGTTGGTACCCCGGGTTCACAGAGTTGGGCACGCCCCCCAAAAACCCTCAAGCCTAAACCCTTCAGAGCATCTCGAAATCCATTTTTAGAGCTGAAGCTGGCGCCATGACAGCAGACGGAATGCCGAAAGTTTCGAATTCCTGCCCCATCTTCGAATTTGGAGCTTATCGGGCTTAGGGTTCAGGGTTGAGGGTTTAGGGCTTAGGGTTTAGGATGTAGGGTTTAGGGTTTAGGGTTTAGGGTTTTGGGTTTAGGGTTTAGGGTTTAGGGTTTAGGGTTTATGTCACAGGTTAGGGTTTCGGGTTTAGGGCTTAGAGCTTACCCCTGTCCTCGGCTCCATGCGGCGGCAGCTCCAAGAGATGTCTCTCCTCGCCCTGCTCGGGCTCCATGGCCTCGAGATGAGGGCGTTGCTTTGAACTAAAAAAAGGGTTTAGGGTTTAGGGTTTAGGGTTTAGGGTTTAGGTTTCAGGTTCAGGGTTCAGGGTTCAGGGTTCCAGGTTGAGGGTTTAGGGTTTAGGGTTTGGGGTTTGGGGTTTAGGGTTTAGGGTTTAGGGTTTAGCAAGGATTGAGGAGCTCGGGGCTTGCAAGTAGAGCTCTGCAGAACCGCGTCAAGTTGCACCAGGGACCTCTGAACTTCAAGGCCCTTGATTTTGGATCGCGCCGCGACGCAATCTACAGAGGATCCGTGACACAAGGCAGGTCTACTTGTCCAGCATCCTGGGGAACTAAAGGTTAACCTTTGGGATTCTAAAGGGAATATGATACCCCAAAAAAGCTTAAGGTTTCCCTAAACCCTAAACTCAAAACCCTAAACCCTAAACCCTAAGCCCTGAACCTACTCTACTACTAAGTCTACGGCAACTAGTGGGCCGGCCCGGTGGCTCCCTACACCCTAACACACCCAAAGCCCTGAAGCTCTGCAGCTCCTACAAGCACCTTACAACTCCCCCCCGTGAACCCTAAACCCTAAACCCTAAACCCTAAACCCTAAGCCAGGTTTAACTTGTGATGCCAAGGTACCGTCCGAGGCCCTGGCAGGAACTCGGCTGAGCCAACGCTGCAGGGGGCCGGGCTCCAGGAAAACCTAGCCCTGCTAACTCGTTTGGTCAGGGACTTTTAGGGTTTTAGGGGTTTAGGGTTTTAGGGTTTTAGGTTTTTAGGTTTTTAGGTTTTTAGGGTTTTAGGGTTTTAGGGTTTTAGGGTTTTAGGGTTTTAGGGTTTTAGGGTTTTAGGGTTTTAGGGTTTTAGGGGTTTTAGGGGTTTTAGGGTTTCGGGTTTGGGGCGCAGGGCTTTTTTTGAGGGTTTTTGAGGCCCAAAATGTCCGGCGCATCACCGATGGGCCCGCAGGATGCCCTTGTAGGGTTACACCCTTGAGGTGCGTAGGGCTTTACGGTACTGTATCAGGGTTTATTTGGTTTATAGGGTTTTTTCGGGTTTATAGGGCTCTGCTCATGGGGTTCTTGGAGCGCCGCCGTTCAGAGACGCAAGGTACGCCTCCCGCTGGTTCAGGACCTGGCGACTCGTGGAAGGGTGGGAGGCCCACTCCAAGCACCCTAAACCCGAACCCCTACACCCCTAAGCCCCTAAACCCGAACACCCCTAAACCCCTAAGCCCCTAAACCCCTAAGCCCCTAAGCCCCTAAGCCCCTAAACCCCTAAACCCCTAAACCCGAAACCCCACTTCCAGGATGTCTCCACGTCCCGAGACTGCAAAATTAACAAAACAGCCGACCTCGAAAGGCCCCAACAGGCCAAGACTCGAACAGGTTTCTATCCCCTAAAATCCCCCTAAAAATCTCTAAAATCCCGAAAATCCCTAAAATCCCTAAACTCCCTGAAATCCCCAAAATCCCTAAGATCCCTAAAATCCCTAAACCCGGAACCCCCCCCTATCCCCATTGGGTCGACCTCCAACACCTAAGGTTGCGCCGTGGGGCCTTCTCAACGGCCTCCCAGTTGCGCCCGCGGATTGTGGGATCATCGGGATCCAACCTCTCTTTCGGGTCTAGGGTTTGGGGTTTAGGGTTTAGGGTTTAGGGTTTAGGGTTTAGGGTTTAGGGTTTAGGGTTTAGGGTTTAGGGTTCAGGGTTTAGGGTTTAGGGTTCAGGGTTTAGGGTTTAGGGTTTCGGGTTTAGGGTTTAGGGTTTCAAAATTTAGGATTCAGGGTTTGGGGTCTTACGTGCTTGTAGGGTTTAAGGCTTCAGGGCTTTAGGGCTTTAGGAGCCTTGAAAGAGCCTGTTTGGGGTTTACAGTAGGGCTGGAGGGCTTTGGGGCTTTGAGGGCTTAGGGTTTAGGATTCCTTGAGGCATCCAGAAGGTCTCAGAGAGTCTGTCGAACGTACCGACCGGGGAGAATAATAAAAGATGACTTTAAGCTTCTTCGTCTGATGGCGGCACCGAGTATTATCATGACGATGATGACGATGATGACGATGATGATCATCATCATCATGATCATCATCGTCATCATCATTATCATCATCACTCTTCCGACTATCGAGAGATAAGACAATCTGCCGGGGTTCAGAATACAGGCTCCTGCCTGCTGATAAATTGCCTTCTGAACTTCTGCTGTTGCTTGGAAGTACAACAACTACAATCTCAAAGCCCAAACCCTGGAATCCCTGCTCTGCAACGGCGGCTGGAGCCGTGATCCCCGAGACACGCAAGACACGTAAGAGCGGCACGTATTGCGCGAGATGTTGTTGAGATCCCTGGGCAACTAGATGCACTTTCGAACTTTCGGCTGCGTGCATATCACACCCGAGGCCCCGACATCTGAGCAATATGGAGGCCCTGTCTACTGAACAACAGGTCCCTGAGCCTCGCGGCTTGCGGCAAGCTGTGCGACAGGGCTCATGCACACCCCCCCTTCTGGTCACCTGCAACCGGCTATAGTGTGGACATGCGAGTACCAGCACCCCGTGATCACCCTGTGCGAGCAGAAGGAACGAAAGCTCGATGCTCGCGAGAAGGGCTTGTCTTTTACGTGCGTCGCCATCCACGTAGTATCCAGTCTGATTTCTTCTTTAGAAAATACGGTACTTCCTCGGTAAAATTGCAGTGCACCTTCAAGCCTTTCTTCATCCGATCACCTCCTCTCGCCAGGGAAGATGAAGTTGCCCACGACCAGGAGTGCGAAGGCCCCCGCAATGAAGACCACGAGGAAGGGCCAGCTGGGAGGCATCATGTAGTCCTAGCACAACAGCACCTCTCCGTTGCACCATGTTGCATGTTGCACCTAAGACACCATAGGTCACAGGGCCTTACACCCTAGCCGGCAAGACGAACAGATCTTGGCAGCTGCTCTGAGGCAGTCCTCGGCCATTGCGGGCTGGGCTGTGAGCAGCGGCAGCACAGCGCCTGCGGTGATGGCAGCAGCACTGGCCTCGGGTGCCGCGCGAGGAGCGGGTGAAGGCACGAACGCCGGGGCCACGAAGAGAGCCACCAGGGCCAGCAGGGCAACAGGGAGAGCACTGGAGCTGCGCGCCATCTTTGCCTCAGCAGATGTATGGTCTAGAGGAACTTCTAACATTCAGCTTACAAGTAGGCAGGCCACTTCAATGGCAGTGCGAGAGGGCCCCACAAACATGCCCCTGGCCAAGGACCCAGCAGTCGCAAAGGCTGGTGGACTTGGGGTGCGCTGCACTGCACTAGGGCCAAATGCTAAGGAAGATGGAGCTGCAGTTGAGAAGTCCTCTTCTGCTACAGTAGTTCACGTCGATATGCAGGTGAACAGTGAACAGGTCACTTGTCATTGGGTTTCTTTTTCTTGCCATGCCTTTGAAACTGAGCTGGTCTCTTCGTCTTGTCTTCGGTGTCAGCAACTAGAAACATGCGAGTATAGCTTGTCACGGCGCCTTTCTAAGGGCAATCGGGACTGGCATCACCTCCTCTCACCAGGAAAGATGAAGTTGCCCACAACCAGGAGTGCGAAGGCCCCCGCAATGAAGACCACGAGGAAGGGCCAGCTGGGAGGCATCATGTAGTCCTAGCACAACATCACCTCTCTGTTGCACCTACGACACCATAGGCTGGACCACAGGTCACAAGGCCTTACACCCTAGCCGGCAAGACGAACAGATCTTGGCAGCTGCTCTAGCTGCTCTGAGGCAGTCCTCGGCCATTGCGGGCTGGGCTGTGAGCAGCGGCAGCACAGCGCCTGCGGTGATGGCAGCAGCACTGGCCTCGGGTGCCGCGCGAGGAGCGGGTGAAGGCACGAACGCCGGGGCCACGAAGAGAGCCACCAGGGCCAGCAGGGCAACAGGGAGAGCACTGGAGCTGCGCGCCATCTTGACCTGCGTCGGAGCAAAAACCACCAAGCAGCACGAGTCTTGATCAATTCTGAGCAAACTCTCTCATATGTCGACACGTGCAGCCTCCAATGCAAGCAGCTGGAATGATGCGAGGACAGCTGCACTGAGCCCAAAACTGCACACACTGCTGCAAGCTGCGATCATGCGCAAGTGGGCAAGAAGCACTGCCAAGATGGGGCCAAGATTTGCATAACACAGCAAGGAGCACGTTCCGGGCTAATTTTCTTGGACTCTCTATGTAGCCCTCCGAAAAAAGTAGAGCGGCGGGCCGAGACCTAGCCTGTCTTAAGCATACCTGCCCTACCGGTACAGACGTCAGCTCATGCGCAGTGCTCCGATCACCTCCTCTCGCCAGGGAAGATGAAGTTGCCCACAACCAGGAGTGCGAAGGCCCCCGCAATGAAGACCACGAGGAAGGGCCAGCTGGGAGGCATCATGTAGTCCTAGCACAACATCACCTCTCTGTTGCACCTACGACACCATAGGCTGGACCATAGGTCACAAGGCCTTACACCCTAGCCGGCAAGACGAACAGATCTTGGAAGCTGCTCTGAGGCAGTCCTCGGCCATTGCGGGCTGGGCTGTGAGCAGCGGCAGCACAGCGCCTGCGGTGATGGCAGCAGCACTGGCCTCGGGTGCCGCACGAGGAGCGGGTGAAGGCACGAACGCCGGGGCCACGAAGAGAGCCACCAGGGCCAGCAGGGCAACAGGGAGAGCACTGGAGCTGCGCGCCATCTTGACCTGCGTCGGAGCAAAAACCACCAAGCAGCACGAGTCTTGATCAATTCTGAGCAAACTCTCTCATATGTCGACACGTGCAGCCTCCAATGCAAGCAGCTGGAATGATTCGAGGACAGCTGCACTGAGCCCAAAACTGCACACACTGCTGCAAGCTGCGATCATGCGCAAGTGGGCAAGAAGCACTGCCAAGATGGGGCCAAGATTTGCATAACACAGCAAGGAGCACGTTCCGGGCTAATTTTCTTGGACTCTCTATGTAGCCCTCCGAAAAAAGTAGAGCGGCGGGCCGAGACCTAGCCTGTCTTAAGCATACCTGCCCTACCGGTACAGACGTCAGCTCATGCGCAGTGCTCCGATCACCTCCTCTCGCCAGGGAAGATGAAGTTGCCCACAACCAGGAGTGCGAAGGCCCCCGCAATGAAGACCACGAGGAAGGGCCAGCTGGGAGGCATCATGTAGTCCTAGCACAACATCACCTCTCTGTTGCACCTACGACACCATAGGCTGGACCATAGGTCACAAGGCCTTACACCCTAGCCGGCAAGACGAACAGATCTTGGCAGCTGCTCTGAGGCAGTCCTCGGCCATTGCGGGCTGGGCTGTGAGCAGCGGCAGCACAGCGCCTGCGGTGATGGCAGCAGCACTGGCCTCGGGTGCCGCACGAGGAGCGGGTGAAGGCACGAACGCCGGGGCCACGAAGAGAGCCACCAGGGCCAGCAGGGCAACAGGGAGAGCACTGGAGCTGCGCGCCATCTTGACCTGCGTCGGAGCAAAAACCACCAAGCAGCACGAGTCTTGATCAATTCTGAGCAAACTCTCTCATATGTCGACACGTGCAGCCTCCAATGCAAGCAGCTGGAATGATTCGAGGACAGCTGCACTGAGCCCAAAACTGCACACACTGCTGCAAGCTGCGATCATGCGCAAGTGGGCAAGAAGCACTGCCAAGATGGGGCCAAGATTTGCATAACACAGCAAGGAGCACGTTCCGGGCTAATTTTCTTGGACTCTCTATGTAGCCCTCCGAAAAAAGTAGAGCGGCGGGCCGAGACCTAGCCTGTCTTAAGCATACCTGCCCTACCGGTACAGACGTCAGCTCATGCGCAGTGCTCCGATCACCTCCTCTCGCCAGGGAAGATGAAGTTGCCCACAACCAGGAGTGCGAAGGCCCCCGCAATGAAGACCACGAGGAAGGGCCAGCTGGGAGGCATCATGTAGTCCTAGCACAACATCACCTCTCTGTTGGACCATAGGTCACAAGGCCTTACACGCTAGCCGGCAAGACGAACAGATCTTGGCAGCTGCTCTGAGGCAGTCCTCGGCCATTGCGGGCTGGGCTGTGAGCAGCGGCAGCACAGCGCCTGCGGTGATGGCAGCAGCACTGGCCTCGGGTGCCGCGCGAGGAGCGGGTGAAGGCACGAACGCCGGGGCCACGAAGAGAGCCACCAGGGCCAGCAGGGCAACAGGGAGAGCACTGGAGCTGCGCGCCATCTTTGCCTCAGCAAGCACGGTCAGATGAGTCCCTTGGCATCTCCTTTCTTGAACTGCACCCAAGGAACCACGAAGTCAAGTTTGACAATGGCTGCTGCTGCGCAAAATCCGGCTGCATCGAGCCAAGCAGTTGGCGTTTGGCACAGGGCATCACACAACACATTGGAAAGTCAGGGGATAGAGGTCCCCCCCAAACCCTAAGCCAAGCCCTAAACCCGAAACGCTAAACCCTAAAGCCTAAACCTCGAACCCTAAACCCTAAACCCTGAACCCTAAAAACCAAATGGACCAGGGGATATGAGTCCGGCAGCTTCTCTTGGTGAGAACAACTACATGGCAGCTGCCTAAAGGCGGTTGCAGAGCGCAGCCCAACTAGTGAAGAGGGCAGCTTACTTGAAGGTTCAGGGTACTTATTAACCAATTATAACTGTACTTATAACTCAAACTATGACCATGTTAGGGCACTTACGGGGCTTACAAGTGGGCTAGAAGTACAGTTATATATAATTGGTGAGTAAGTACCCTGAACCTCCAAGTAGTAGGCCCACTTTCCAGAATTCGCAGCCCATGGTCCACCCGAAACCCTACCCTAAGCCCTAAACCCTAAAGCCCTAAACCCTAAACCCTAAATCCTAAATCCTAAACCCTTTAGAACAACCCCCCCAGATCCTTTTCCGGTCGCGGACCTGGACCGTGAAGACTCTGAGAACTGAACACCGAGTTGCCTTGAGCGACTCGGAGGCCGAGATTGAAAAGGGGCCCTCGGTTTAGGGTTTAGGGTTTAGGGTTTAGGGTTTAGGGTTTAGGTTTTTTTTTTTTAACAACCCTTCACTCCTTTTCGGGTTTAGGGTTTAGGGTTTAGGGCTTAGGGCTTAGGGTTTAGGGTTTAGGGTTTAGGGTTTCGGGTCCTGGGGCCCTGAGACCCTCAGGCCCTGAAGCTGTGCGAAGCATCGCAAGGCCAAATCCCCCTCGGGCTCGTGGATCTTGGCACAGGGTCGTGCTCTCGAAAACAGCTTCCATGTGAAACAACCTTGGGCCGATGCGGTTGCGCCGCACGAATTAGAATCACATGGTACAAGGTAAGTATAAAATTCGCACTCTTCTCGAGCCATATGAAAATAATTGGCCGGAAGGAGCTGGTAAGACCTCCTGCCTCGTCCGGCGCAGGTCAAAACATCGGAATCAGCGTCCTGCACTACGGCTGACTGTACCCTGATACGCATCGGTGCACAGTTAAGCATTCTCAAACGACTGTTCCTAAGTAGGTTATGAGGCTCCTCCGAATTCCATCGCACCAGAATGTCACCACAATCTCTCGAGTTTTTGTAGGATGTTTATGTCTGAGCCACTCCCGTCCTGTTTGCGGCTGGCTTCAACCAGGCGCGGACTGCCCGTACCCACACATGGGAGCGCAAGCCTCCAGAAGCTTGGCAAAACGCCGTTCGTATCTCTCCCAGCGTTGTTGCTGTTACCCCGCGAGCCCGGAGGTCTCATCTGAGGGCCCCGGAAGGCTAAGGGAAGATGCGTGGGTGGCTGTCATGTGGGGATCAGGGCGTACTTAGGATTTGGGAGATTGCACCGCAGTCTTGGCCCTCTCTTGCCCGGTCTTGGCCTTTCCACTCCAGGGGACTCTGAAAGCGGTTCAACGCGGGGCTAAACCCTAAACCCTGAACTCTACACCCAGACATGTTCAAAATTGGCACCTCGATGCTTGCGTCAAGGGGTTTAGGGTGTAGGGTGTAGGGCTCAGGGTTTAGGGTTTCGGTCTGCAGCTGTCACATGAGTTCTTAAGAGAGAACTGTAGAACCGGTCATCTTGCTTCCTCTCCCCCCATATTACCCTTGAAGGGATCATGAGGGCACCCTACAGGAATTCCCACTATACCCTAAACCCTCAACCCTAAACCCGGAACCCTAAACCCTAAACCCTAAACTTACCTCCAACCTAAACCCAAAATTGTCAGTCACACACACACACACACACAAGGCGCTTTTGGCCCTCGAGGCCCAGGCCGGTGTGCGGCCAAAACCTCAGGGCCCCAAGAAGTGGCGCAAAGGCAACTTGGTTGAAAAAACTTATGCGCCTCCGGTGTCTCGGGTGTAGGGGTTTAGGGTTTAGGGTTTAGGGTTTGGGGGTTTAGGGGTTTAGGGGCTTCGGGGCTTAGGGGTTTAGGGGTTTAGGGGTTGAGGGGTTGAGGGGTTGAGGGGTTGAGGGGTTTAGGGGTTTCGGGGTTCAGGGGTGTAGGGGTTGTAGGGCGTAGGGGAGTTCTTAGGGGGCTTAGGGGGCTCTCGGAAGCTTAGGGTGCGAGGCCCTGGCACTCTGTGATCTGGACACCATCCGCTGCCTCGCATGGCCGCTGGCCCTGAGGCGCGAAGACCCCAACCAAGAAAAAAACCTGGAAACGCGAAGAGACCCTGAAACCCTAAGCCTCGAAACCCTAGACCCTAAAACCCCCTAAAACCCTAAACCCTTTTTACCTCAACACCCTAAACCCTAAACCCACCTTTTTGGGGGTGCATGGCCACCAAGGACAGCAGCCTGATGACCCTAAGAAGGCAGCTCCCCCTCCATGTTGTTCAGCAAACCCTAACCCCAAATCCCACTGAAGCGTGTTTTTTTCACCCACTCGGACCCGAGCCATAACTCATGGCCCCAAAAATCCCAAATCCGAGTGGCACCTTCCGAACGCCGAACGCGATTTCTGAAAGCCCCTAAACCCTTAGCCCACAACTCTAAAACCAGCCCGCAACACAAAGCCTTCAAACCCTCAGCTAAACCCAAAAACAAACCCTCGAAGGCCCCAATCCCTAAACCCCCGCCATCACCACTTGATATGCCTCCAGACAGCGCCAGCCAAGTGCGGCCGGGTTAGCAGCCTAAGCGGCCGCTTCACGAAGAGGCTTGTAAGTTCTTATGAGGGTTTAGGGCTTGGGGAGCTTGTAGGTGCGCGCAGAATAGGGGCGAAAGCTTGAGTAGCACGTCCAAAGCCATGCCAAGCGAGTTGCTGAACAGACCGGCCTGCACCCGAAATCTGCTGTCCCGCCTAGGTAGACCCAAATCACCTCCAAACATGCCCAAAGCACAACTCCAAAAAGCCAAACCTTTAAGGCTGAACCCTAAACCCTAACCCTAAACCCTAAACTCCTCACCGCCCCCTCTCAAGCGTCCTGAGGCAAAGGACAGCGCCCTTGGCATGCTTTGCCTGCTGCACGGCTGCGACACGCGAGGCCAGGCGCTCGTACCTGCGGCTGGCCACGTCTTCCTGTGATGGCTACTAAAATGTGCGTTTCCAAAAACAGGGGTAGTATAATCCTTATTATCCAAAAGGGTACCCCTATTCTCGGAAACCCCCAGATGTTACCGTAGAAACCAGTAGCCTTTTCCAGCAGCTGTTGAGGTCATTGGCGTGCTAGAGTTAGTCCGAGCCCCCGCGTCTTGAATCGCAGATGTGCAAATGGGGGGGGTTGGCCCAACACATGGAACAACCTTTGGCTGGTCGATCGTCGAAATTATCGCTGCTACGGCGGCGGCTGATTTTGTCTGGTTGCAGAAGCTATTCCAGTTGGCACAATCAATTTTCATAGCTGGTGTAGCCACTATTCATTATGGCACTTATCGTGATGTTGTCTTGAGTCTACCTGTTACAGGAATAATAGCTGTTGCGACTGTAGTTGTTATAGCTCGCGATCAGCTGAAATCAGGATTGCCCCCCAAACAAAAATTGATCCGAACCGACCCTGAACCCCACCCCCCACCCCCCCCCCACCCTGCATCCCACCCCCCACCAAAACAAAAAAGAAAGGTCTTGAGATTCCCGTGAACCCTACACCCGAACCCTGAGCCCACAAGGTGCAGGCCCATCTTCATTGAGATACACCAAAAGCAGCGGGGCACGTCTTGTCCCAGCGCCTCCAGGCCTGTTGCGGCCAAGGGCTCTTCAGGGTTTGCCTTTTGGGTTTTAGGGTTTCGGGTTTCGGTGTTGGGGGTTAGGGGTTTTTGAAGGGTTTTGGGGGATGAGTTTTGAGGGTTTAAGGGGGTGGGGGTTTGAGGCAGGGTTCAGAACCCGAGTTTCGGAAAGCCCCCCTTGAGGGGATTGGGTTTAGGTGAGGAGTTCTGGGGGTTATAGACTTCGGGCTTTGGGGTTCAGAGCTTGAGGGTGAAGGGTTCAGAGGTTTAGGCTCTGAAGCTGAGGTTTTTGGGCTGAGGGCTTAAGGGCTTGAGGGTTTGGGTTTCTGTTTAGGGCTTACAATAGTGAAATTGCGCTAGGCTTCCGGTTTAGGAGTTTTTGTGACTGGACTCGCTCCCATTTCAGCAGGCGTGACGGTAACCCGTCTTCCAGAAAACTTAAGTGCTCGCTGCACCATCACCACCACCAAGACCACTACACTCGTCACGAGAAGGACCCCCAGCATCTGCACCACCCTCCACAGCACGACCCACCGCAGGACCATCACCGACGCCGTGCCACGATAAAGACACACAGGCACCATCCACCCAACCACCACCCAATCCATCCACCAGTGGAGAGAGCATGTGCATGCCCAGCATCGAAGACGGCTTTTAAAATCTCAACCATAAAGGCTTCCCCCAGAAAGTGCCCAGGCGGAGCACACCCATTCCCCAATAGTCGTGTCGCGCATCGCCGCAAGCATCTGCAAGCTGCTTCCATCTAACACGCCATCCTCATTTCCACATCCCTGACAGCCCGCAAACGCCTCTGCACCTCCCCAAGACCACGTTGAACTGGCGCGCGAGGATCACCCCGGAGGACTCCCGGCGGCCCCGACGTTCAGAGGTCCACGACGTTCAGGAAGTCTTGGAGGAACCGCAATCCTATGCCGCGGTGGTCGCCCAAGATTCTCGTACACCACGATACCATCTGAGGACAAAAGCCAAAGCTGTGTCAGCTCTTCTTTGGCTCTGTTTCTGCGACTAGCGCCGCTTGCCGTGCTGTACTTAACGCCTATGGGACGCTTCCTCGTGCGTCATCTGAGGATGCGACAGCGGTGCATGCGGTGCTTCCCATGCTAGAACCTTTCTTGTGACTCCCTAGCCTGCACCAAGCGACAAACATGACTTTGGCTTTCCTTCGTCTGCGATGCTACACCCCGCATTGGTCCGGCCCAACTGCCGAGGCGGCGCACGCAAGCGTTTACACGAATAGGTGTACCCTTAATATACCCCCAAAAGCATAATTCTTCTTATGGGAACCTCCCAAAAGGGGACCCCTATTTTCGCAAACCCCCACATGCAGTCACGGCCTGGAGGTCACTCTCGCTGGGGTGGGAGCGCCAGCAAGTCAACTCCTGGTCAAGTGGATTTCGGGCTTCGGGGTTCTTGTTGTTCTAGGGTTGGGTTTAGGGTTTTGGGGCACTTAGACCCTCGACTGCATAAGGACTCCGGCTATCTTGGGTGCTACATGGTTTAGGGTTTAGGGTTTAGGGTTTAGGGTTTAGGGTTTAGGGTTTAGGGTTTAGGGTTTAGGGTTTAGGGTTTAGGGTTTAGGGTTTAGGGTTGGGTTTTAGGGTTTTGTCTGCACTTAGACCACAAACCTCGACGGCATAAGGACTCCGGCAATCTTGGGTGCTACATGAGGTCTTCATGGCACGGCTCCAAGAACCCCAAAAAAAACCCTTAACACAAGAGAAAGAACACATTTGAACCCTAAACCCTAAACCCTACACCCTACACCCTACACCCTACACCCTACACCCTACACCCTGCCCTGCCCGCCCCCCCCCCCCCCGGTCCCTCCCCACACGAACTGCTGTGACAAGCGGCCCCGACCACGGACTCCAGGAGGCCGGAGACCAAAAGCCTCTGCACTGAACTGGAGGTCGAATCCGGGTTGAGGGTTTCGGGTTGAACCATAAGGGGTTCTCAGGGTTTTTGGTGCTGAGGGCAGAGGCTTCCCGGGTTTTGGGCCTTCTCAGCCCTATGCAACGGCCGAGGATTTCCGCCCTTGGCGGTTTCGGGCTTTGGCATGTCGGCTTGGCGCTCGCCCTTGCAACTTGGGGCGCACTTCGGGCATCGGGGTTGCGGTACCACTCAAAGAAGCAGTAAGTTTAGGGCCTACAGTAGGAGTCAGCCACGAGTGTGATGCTCTTAGGCCATGATTTGTAGGCCCAGGTCATGATTTGCAGTTGTTCTACGTGCCAGAGTTGCTGTAGCTGTTCCAGCTGCTCTAGTTGCGACCGTTCGTCGTGATAATCTACCCGAAGCGGGTACTGGCCTGGAGGACAGCAGGCACCGAGTCAGCCCTGGCACTCAGTCAAGGTTAACACAGCTAGGGTTTAGGGTTTAGGGTTTAGGGTTTAGGGGTTAGGGTTTAGGGTTTAGGGTTTAGGGTTTAGGGTTTGGGGTTTAGGGTTTAGGGTTTAGGGTTTAGGGATTGTTGAGTTCCCTCTCCCGAGCCTTTGCCTACAGCCGGGTGAAGGGTGAAGGGTCTGTCGGTGACTCGGTAGGCATGCTGCCTCTTCTGGGAGAGGTTTGATGCGTGCTCTGCTCATTTAAGCGTGATTCTGAACATGGAGAAGTGGGGAACCGCGGAAATAACTGCCAACCGCTCCTTCCGGAAACTGGCAACCGCAGCTTTTTAAGAACCGGAGCCCGCACATTCGGTTTCTGGAGTTTCAAAAGTCGCTAGATCTCTAAACCCTAAACCCTAAACCCTAAACCCCCACCTTCCTGACAAACCGTGCGAGCTCTTGAGCCGTAGTGTTTGCATGCTGCGAGCCTGACTAGGTGAGGGTGCGCCTTAAGAGCTGCCATTCGTCCAAACCCAAGCCGGGCGCAAAAACCAGAAACGTGCGGATGCCGCCCCCCTTCTCGGAGAAGTCAGGTGAGCGAAGGGCCTGCTGGACAAGAAAACGTTCAGGAAGGCTTTGAGAGCGGAGTTCGTTTTGTTAGTTTTTGTTGCTATTTTTTTGTTTTTACATGTTTTTTTGGGAGGAGGGCGGGGTAGGGGGGCACATGATCAGGCGTTCGGTGTTCTCACCCGCAGGAGGAAGAAGGGTTGCAGGACGTGTTCCAGTCCAGTGCACTGGGCGTTCCCTGACCTCGAAAGCCCAAAGAAACCACTGCGCAAAGGCGAGCGCCAGACGACACGGAAACATGGGAACAACCTCACCTTGCTGATTCATCCCGACGCGAGATAAGCAAACGTGAGCCCGAACCTTTACGCTTTCAAGGGACCGCAGGAACCTGCATCAGGAGGCCACCGTCCACATCGGGTGCAAAGGTGCCTGGTTTGCCTCGACCTTGGACCACAAGCCAAATTATGACTACTCTTATTCCTCGTCTTGCTATAAGTACGATTAGTGTTGTTATTGTTAGCATTACTATGATTATCATTACTATTAAGATGCTGCAGAAGAGCGGACTTTCGAAAGAAGAGACATGGGGGTTTACGAAAATAAGGAACCCCAAATATGGTCCCGAAATCGTAGGATTCTCTTCTGATAAAGACCCCGACAAGTTACCCCTAACTTCGGAAAGCCCCATATGGAGCCGCGCTTTGCGGGAGTCCTTGCGGCCACGCGGCTGATCGAATCGAGGAAGGCCTCGTCGGACTGCTCGTGCCTGTCTCGGGGGGTTTAGGGTTTAGGGTTCAGGGTTTAGGGTTTAGGGTTTAGGGTTTAGGGTTTAGGGTTTAGGGTTTAGGGTTTAGGGTTTAGGGTGCCAAGCGCTGCACATTCGAGTGCAAAATACCTCTTCTGTTTGGTCGGATACCGACTCCTCACGTCCGAAGACGCTTTCAAAGGTCCGTAGTTTGCAGCAAGCATCAAGTGTGAGCCGCTAAGGGGTGAAACAAAGCATGGCAACTCGATCCTGGGGCTTCGGGGAGAAATCTACATGCTGAGCCTGAGTGAACCTCAACAAGGCGCAACATGAAGGGTCTGCGGCCTTTTTCTTACCTGCCCGCGAGTGCCCCCTTTTCCCAGCCCTCAAAGATGTCACTTCGAACAGCCAGGGCCCGGACAGTACGGCCAACTCAGTGATGCGGCGTAGCAGTTCCTTCCGTGCAAAGCAATCTACGACATCTCAGCGACACAGCGACAGAGAGAAAGAAAGAGAGAAAGAAAGAAAGAAAGAAAGAAAGAAAGAAAGAAAGAAAGAAAGAAAGGAAGGAAGGAAGGAAGGAAGTAAAGAAAGAAGAACGAATTAAAGAAAGAAAGAAAATAAAACAAAAAGAGACAGAGAAGAGATGGCTAGTTCTGCTACCCTGCAAAGCATGCGGCAAGTGCAGCCAGCAACCACACGTCCTCCGCGGTCGTCAGCACTTCCTCCGCAGTACTCAATGAGTCCCGCTCGCCTGCATTCGAGAGACGGCACGAATTCTGGCTTCTCCCATGCAAGTAATCTTCTTATGCCCCTCAAACATCCCCGTTCCCTGCAACCCGCCTAAGGTCATCAACTCCCCCCGGCCTTGTTCCCCCAGGTTGCGGAAACCCCCGGCCTTATTGCCCTAAGTCTTCGGCCTCCTGTGGGCCTGCTTGGGGCCTCCTTGAATCCCAGGAACTTCTGTTAGCTGCCTCCTGTAAACGCCTCCCTTTCCTTAAGGGCCTTGCTTGAGCGGAGTTTCCTGCAGGTGCCTCCAAGAAGGGGCTTCCTTTAGGGACCTTTGTTTGCTTGATTGTAGGTCTGTTATGAGGGCTGTTTCTACGTCCTAAATCCTAACCCTAAACCCTGACAACCCGAAACCCTGAACCCTAAATCCTAAACCCTGAACCCCAAACCCTCAACCCCAAACCCCAAACCCTAAACCCTAAACCCCGAAACCCCTAAACACCTAAACCCCCAAACCCTAAACCCTGACACTCCGGGCCGTGTCTGGTGTAGCCATCGAGACAATCTCGCAACATCTCCTCACAGAGCCGGAACTCCCAGAGCCTCCGAGGCGTCGCACAGGGTTTAGGGTTTAGGGTTTAGGGTTTTGGGTTTTGGGTTTAGGGTTTTGGGTTTTGGGATTAGGGTTTAGGGTTTAGGATTTAGGATTTAGGGTTTATAAGGTTTAGGGTGTATAGACCTTAGCGTTTGGGGTACACCCCCCCCCCCTCGGAGAAAAAAAAAAACAAGGATCCTAACAAGATAACCGACGTTTAAAAGGGATATAGATATAGATATGGATATAGATATGGAAATAGATATAGATATACATATAGATATAGACATAGTCACGACATAGACATTTTCCGGCATAGATATAGATATAGATATAGATATACATATAGATATAGACATAGACATAGACATAGACATATATAAGCATAGATATAGATATAGATATAGATATAGATATAGATATAGATATAGATATAGATATAGATATAGAGATCTATGCCCATATAATGCATACCGATGCATGTATGTATGTATGTAACAATAAGAAAAAAGACGAAGGATAAGATTGATAAGAATCTAACAAAAAAAGAAAAAGGAACTAGGTCTCCTTAGGGGGGGTTTAGGGTTTAGGGTTTAGGGCTTGACATGGGTATCGCCTTCATCTCCGCACAGCCCTCGCATCAGCCAGAATTCCCACGTATCAGACTCATCCCCGAAACTCCCAAAATACGCGCGGGGGGGGGGGGGGGTCGAAGCTCTAGGGCTTGGGGTTTAGGGTTGCGGGTTTAGGGCTTAGGGCTTGGGGCTTCCTCATCCTTAAAACCCCGCTGCAACCGTTCCCCCGCGCCGCCTGTCCACGCGGTCCAGGTCCTCCAGCTGCTTGGATCGACGCTCCTCAAGCGTCCGCGCCTGCTCAACACTCCCAAATCCATGCCAAGGCCTTCGTGAGCCTTAGGGTGGCTGCATGGATGGTCTTTTCATATGGGGGAAGCCTTATCAAACAGCCTGTCTATTTGGTTTCCTTATACACCACCCCTTATATCATACCCTCATACCCCCCTTATGGTACCCGTTTATACAACCCCCCCCCCCCTTGATATACACCTTACATGTAACGCCAATACACCCCTTTGTATACACCTTATTCTACCCTTCTATACCCCTTGACATGCACCTTACATACCTCATGGTTTCCCCTTCTACACCGCTTGTATACCCTTTACAAACCCCTTTACACTTGACAGACCCCTTACATACCCCCTTACATACACCTCATATACCGCTTACAGACCCCCCGAAACCCTGATCCCTAAACCCTAAACCCTAATCCCTAACCCTAAACCCTAAACCCTAAACCCTAAACCCTAAACCCTAAGGGCCCATTCCGGGGAACCTGAAAGTCTGGGCGCCGGGCCAGCTGGAAGGGTCCGGTGCCCAGGGGGTTGATGACGAGGTCCTGGGACCGGTGTAGGGTTTAGGGTTTAGGGTTTGGGGTTTAGGGTTTAGGATTTAGGGTGGCAAAGGAGATCGCAGGGCGGCTGCTGTGGTGTTGGAGGGTTTCCGATTTCCTGGTGTGGCTGCCTTGCCAAGGCAACTCCGGTGGCCAGAGGTTGGTGTCCTACAACCTCAAGCGCCGCTTCACTATGCTCCACGATGCATTCGCCGTCTTGCTGACTTTTTGACACCGCACGCCCCGCGTTCCGCCTACTCAGGGAGCTACATGCGCTCCGCCACAGCAAGCAAAGAGTACGTTGACCATGCTTGCAGCACTGGCTTTGCCAGGGTGTGTCTTTAGGGGGGGGGCCACCCCGATGGATCCATAAACCCAAGAAGCCCTTAGAAGCCCCACTAGCCCCCTTTTGAAATGGGCACCCTGGGGCTCCACAGCATAAGGCTGGCGAGCCGTTTGGCATCGCTTGCTCTCATGCATCTACAGAGACTTTCGAGCAGTCTTGGGATGCGAACGGTTATGTGAGTGTGCGAAAGTGGCGTATGATGGTCTGGTAGTGAAGTGCAAGGGTGCGCCGCCTTGCTGGTGAAGATGTCACGGCATGCCAAGCTCAGCCTAGCGGAACAGGAAGCTAAAGTTGTGGATGATCATCCTGCCAAGCACAAAACAGGGCGCAAGAGGCTACAAATCGTACACAGGCGAAAGTCAGCAGTCTGCTAGAATGGTCAAAAGGCGTGGGGGCTCCACACCTCATGATCGGCTGGCACTCGAGGAACTGGATGTGCGCTGCACGGCCGATGAAAGTGTCCTTAGCCCTAAACCCTAACCCTAAACCCTAAACACTAAACCCGATGCACCGAAGCCCAGAGCGGAGTGCCCTATGCAGCCGAGCCGCGAGGTTGTTCTCCTGAGGTCACACGCAGGTTTCCGAAATTAGGGTACCTTCTTCGGGTCCTTAATACAAGGGAATCCTATGATTTGGGTGTCTATATTGGGGATCCGTTATCTTCGTAAACTCCCACACGGGCGCACACCATCATGGGGACAATCGGGGCTTAGCCCGTGTCCCATAAACCCTAACCCTAAACTCTAAACCCCAAACCCTAAACCCCAAACCCTAAACCCTAAACCCTAAACCGAAGATAAACGCGAGGCCGGGCTGCCGGGATGTGGAAGTTCACGTCGAAACGGAAGACCCGCTCGGGCTTCACCTGAGTCGCAAGGGTTTAGGGTTTAGGGTTTAGGGTTTAGGGTTTAGGGTTTAGGGTTTAGGGTTTAGGGCCTAGGGTTTAGGGTTTAGACCGCAATGCGATGTGCTTTCCACAGATTGGCTCGAAATGAGCCTTTGGACTGGGCAGCCGGCATTCTTCCACAGGTTGTTGACGATTTCCTTGTATGCCTCCTGGGAGGTGTGCATCCCCAGCATGTTGCCGATCTCGACCTCGCAAGCATGAGATCCTAAACCCTAAACCCTAAACCCTAAACCCTAAACCCTAAACCCTAAGAGAAGCACCGAACCGAGGGGTCGGCCCGCGCAGAGTCGAAAGGTCCATAGCTGTCACTTGCACAGGAGACCAGCACCACGTTCTGAAAGTACCTGAGGCTCGGTGAGTTGTTTTTGAGGGCCCCCTCAACCCTGAACCTGAACCCTGAACCCTGAACCTTCAACCCTACACCCTGAACCCTAAACCCTAAACCCTAAACCCTAAACTCTGAACCCTGAACCCTAAACCCCCCAAACCCATGCCGACTCACAGCCTGTCTGAGACGTAGCTTGCTGCCCGAGGTGCTCGAATCCCGGCGTTTGGCTCAGCCTCAGAACAACCGGCGCCACTGTCGCCACTGCAGAGCTTGCAGTGTTGAGGGTTTAGGGCTTAGGGTTTAGGATTTAGGGCCAAGTTTAGGGTTCAGGGTTTAGGGTTCAGGGTTTAGGGTTTAGGGTTTAGGGTTTAGGGTTTAGGGTTTAGGGTTTAGGGTTTAGGGTTTAGGGTTTAGGGTTGAGATGATAAGTACTTGGTTTGGGACACACTGAAGTGCTTGGGCCAGGCCACTTGTAGATCATCGTCTGTCTTGGGTCATCGGCATCTGCCATGGACAGCTGCGTAAGACATTGGGATCCACGCCAAGATTGCAGTACCTGGCACCGGGCATTCGCACGACTCTGGGACGGTTTTTGAGAACGCGTGGGCCACGTGGGGGCCCCTCCTTGCCTTAAGGCCGAGATGGAAGAGGCTGATGTTCTTCAAGAAATAGCCTGATCAGGCCATGGCGTGAAGCACTCAGAAGCCCCATCCCCAGGCCCGGCCGCCCAGAGCTTGGGTCTTGCCGAGGAGGCGCCAACGTGCGGAGAGGAGAAGGTGATGAACGTGAACATCTTGTCCTTGAACTCCTCGAGCCGGCCCAGATCAGTGCCAACTACAGCCATCCACAAACCCCAAGCCCTGGAACCCTACACCCTACACCCTCAAAGCCCAAAAACCCTACACCCCAAAGCGCCGGAAAAATTTAAAAAAAAAACTCAACCTAAGCCCTCCTATAGGGCACGCCGAGAGCCCCGAGACGCCCAGGTCCTGCAGATGCGGAATCGCAGAGCGGACGATGAGGCCGCCTGGTTTAGGGTTAGGGGCTTTTAGGGTTAAAATTTAAGGTTTAGGGTTTAAGGTTTAGGGTTTAGGGTTTAGGGTTTAGGGTTTAGGGTTTAGGGTTTAGGGTTTAGGGTTTAGGACTACTCACCCAATATTACGCTTCAGGCTACCCTAAACCGCAAACCCTATGCCGTAAATAAAGCCCTAAACCCGAAACCCAATGCTGGTTTTTGGTGTCATTCGAACTAGGGCTTCCCACCTTTGCGGCTTCCCAGCATCTCCCTGACAAGCTTAAGGCTTCCCACCCCAAAGGTAGCAGCAGCAGCAGCAGCAGTAGTAGTTGTTGTTGTAGTAGTTGTTGTTGCCGTTGTAGGAGGAGGCCCAGGTAGTAGGAGCAGTCATGGTGGTGCGATGATCGTGTGGAGAAGGGCGCAAGCGGAGAGGTGCCAAGGAACTCACCCCTTAAGAATGCTCGAAATTGTCACAAGCGATGTGCAAAAAAATGTCACAAAAGCGCACGGAAACACGAAGTCACCGGCACATTACACAATCGAGAAGCTGTACGGGGGCAACGTTTTCACTCAGAAGCCCTAAAAACCCAACTAAAGCGCTAAAATCTAAACGTCATGTTGAAATCTAAACACAAGAAATCCCGCACCATGACAATCTGAAGCCATAAGCCAACAAAGCCTCAGCCCTTAAAATTGATGTTGGGATAAGACACACCCAGCCCTAGAAGCTCTAAAGCCGAAGAGTCATGTTTTTGTCTTGTACAAGTAAGTATGTGGGCTGTGCATAAGAACAGAAACTGCAAAACCCCAAACTCCGCTCTACCCGAACGCGTTGCCGAGGACGACGTGTGAGCAGGCTCAGAAAAATCTGCGCCTTTACTCCTTGTTTACACCCTAAACCCTACTCAACCCGAATTCCTAAACCCTAAACCCTTAAGTACTTCCGAAAGTGCTTGGACAGCACCCCAAACTGCTTTTTTTCCAAGGATGGCATCGGTCCAAAGAACGGGATCTCAGCTACAGACAATCCCCGCGGTTCTCGTTGCGAATGTCTGTGTTTAGGAGAGCAGGGTTTAGGGGTTTAGGGGGTTTAGGGGTTTAGGGGGTTTAGGGGTTTAGGGGTTTAGGGGTTTAGGGGTTTAGGGGTTTAGGGGTTTAGGGGTTTAGGGGTTTAGGGGTTTAGGGGTTTAGGGGTTTAGGGGTTTAGGGGTTTAGGGGTTTAGGGGTTTAGGGGTTTAGGGGTTTAGGGGTTTAGGGGTTTAGGGGTTTAGGGGTTTAGGGGTTAGGAGAGCAAGCCCAAGCACTTGAAGCATGGATGCTTTGGGGAGTCGCACGCACTGGTTGCATGAACGTAATCATCGCGCGGGCATGGAGGGTCGGGACTTTTGAAGGTCTGAGGGGGCTTTGGGGTGGCATTTACGCCAACAGCTGCGACGTCTTGCTCGGGCGGAGGGCTAAACTCGGAAGCCCCTACAAGCCTGTATTAGTCTCAAAGCCCCAAAAGCCCTAAACGCCCGAAAAGCCCCCAAAAGCCCCTAAAAGCCCTTCAAAGCCCCTAAAAGACCTCAAAGCCCCAAAAGCCCCTAAAAGACCTAGAAGCCGCCCAGAACAAACTGCTAGACTTGCGTTTCGGAAAAAAAACAAGCAAAGGCTGGAGAGGCGCCGATGGAATGCGCGATGAAGCTGAGCCGGCCCAGGGCCGACCCCGGGCACCAGTCGCAGATGAAGTTTGAGACCTGCTCGCATTACCAGGGGGGGGGGGGTTGAAAGGGTTTAAAGGGGTTTTTTTTCGGGCTTAAGGGGGTGGGTTTTGAGGGTCCTCGAAGGGTCTGAGGTCTAAAGCATCTAAGCCCTTTCGGGGCGTCAGGGCCAAAGGTTTCGGGGGTTCCTTGAGGTTCGAATGAGGCCAGCCCCTGCCTTTACAAACAACCCGAGGCTTACCGAAGCGCTGGCTGGGGTGGCAAGGTAGGGGACAGGATTCGGGGACCCTTTGGGGATATAGGCCCTCTGACAAGGTCCCTGTTCAAGAGAGCTAGGAGAGGGTGAGGAAGGGCTCCCTTTTCAGACCTGGGACAAGACCCGATCACCCGAAACACTCCTGAACCCACCCAAAACAAAAACTCTGTCTCTGGAACCCTAAACAAACCCTAAACCCTAAACCCTAAACCCTAAACCCTAAACCCTAAAGCCTAAGTCGGAGGCGGGGCCTCCTGGGCCAGGCGGATGCCCATCTCGGAGAAGTCACCTTCTGTGTTGTCCTCACGGAGGGGGCTTGAAGCAAGGCTCCGATCGGGCTTCGGGTTTAGGGTTGAGGGTTTAGGGTTTAGGGTTGAGGCTTTGGGGCTTGAGGTTTAGGGTTCAGGGCTTAGGGTTTAGGGTTTAGGATTTGGGGTTTAGGGTGTAGTGTAGCCGTCCTCGTTGGACTGGGAGCACAGGAAGATGGCATCTGGGTAGAGCAAGGCGATGTTGTTCTTCATCAGCCGCATGTCGAAGGAATTCCTGGGTTCAGCGGGTTCAGGGCCTATACGCAATGAAGGACCGAACTGTTCAAACCTTCTAAGCTACATCTGGAGGCTTGTAGAATGTACATTTGCATGTAGCATGTTGCGGAACAGTGATGCATTGTGTGCAATGATCGGGCCATCGCAACTTCTCAATTCTTCCTCATTGATGATGTGAACGGGTTGTGACCCCATCGCGGAATCCCCAGAGTTCCAGAAGCCTCACCAAACAGGCCGGGGCTCCCCTGGAAGCCGTGGCAAAGCACGAAGAGATGCACTCCGCGGTACTGCTTCGGGGCCTGGGGACTGCTTGGTGTGGGTCCAATATGGAATACGGCAGCCTTGTAATCACTATGAAGGACCCCCTCTAATTCAGAGAACTATCCATTCGCAGCGAAGGGCTTCGCGCAACCTACAGCCCTGGAAGCTGTGCTGGACATGGTGGTGGAGCTGTCCTTCCGGACTGGGTGGAGTTCTACCCCCCAACCCCACCCCTCCACCCCTCTATTCAAAAAAACAACCAAATCTCTGACCCTAAATCCTCGCACAAAAGGCCGTTCAAACCGCAAAGCCCACTGCCTCAGCGCCCGACCGAGGGCACGCGCGACTCCCAGATGCTGGGATGCAGCGCATCCTTGACTCCAGTGGTCTCCTTCGGAGGCTTAGGGTTTCGAGTTCAGATAGCACATACAATGATATACCATGCACGGTGTAAAGCACAAAAACTATAATAGCTAATACATATATAAATATGTTTGAACTTTGATAGTTATATATATATAACATCTGTAGAAATATATATATATATATGTATGCATGCATGCATGCATGGATGTATGTATGTATGCGTGTATGTGTGTATGTGTGTATGCATGTGTCTATGTATGTATGTACCTATGTACGTATGTACGTACGTACGTACGTATGTATATATGTATGTATGTGTAGCGGTACATATACAAATATACATATATACGTGTCTATATTTTTTTATGTGTTTGGTACATAGCATCTGCTTGCAGGGTGGAATTCTTAGGGCTGCGCATGGGTTTCGGACCACTTCTAAACCGGATGTTCCACCTTGTACTGACCGGGACTATAACTGGGGGTTACCATATTTCCTATTGAGGACTGTTAGTAGAAGGGCGAACATCCCAACCTATAAATCTTCACTTTCTGCGGACAGAATTGGGCTGTGTAAGGATTATAGGGGCACAAGGAGACCAAAACTATTTCCAATACAGCATGCCGCAAAGTCCATGAGCCCCCCAAAGTGCTTTGCATCTCCGTCCTCAAGACTCCCAAAGGGCAGAGTCTCGATAAAAATACTTGAAAAGCCCTTGAGGACAAGCCCCTCAGCGCTATGTTTGCCCTAGTCATCGCCCAGTCAGCTAGGCAGGTGGCAACAGACAAAAAGACACTACCCTAAACCCAGACCCTAAACCCTAAACTGAAACCCACCCGTCCATACCGGTGGCCACTGACCGCTGGTCGAAGAGCACTGGCCGCTGCTCGATGGGAGGAAGCAGGGTCGTGTCCTCTGAGCGCGGTCAGCTTTGCCGGTCAGAGGGTTTAGGGTTTAGGGTTCAGGGTTTAGGGTTCAGGGTTTAGGGTTCAGGGTTTAGGGTTTAGGATTTAGGGTTTAGGGTGCAGGGTGCCTTCTCAGAAGGGCTGAGTTCAGGGCATCGCGGCCCATTTCATTCAGGGTGCCCACTTTGTATTATCTGACCATTGGCTGCTGCAATGTGTGCTGTCCCAGGGTGCCCAGAGAAGGGACCAACATTGGTGATGACTGAGATGGGGGTTGTCAACAAACTGGTGCATTCGTGGACCACCCTGGTGAGCACAATCGGTTTTGCATGTGGATGAGGCTCTACGACTTACGAAGATTCCTACGATGGTCTGTATTAGTAGGTCTTGGGTTCTTCGGGTATAGGATCTCACGTGAACTTAGCTCAAACTTGGAGCCTACAACACAGTATATAACATGTAAAGGCAAATATAGTAATAACAACAACAGTAGCAAGACTGTGCGTGTATATACATATGAAAAACACATAACATAATATCATCTAATTTAGTACAACATAGATAACCTATCATAGATCATAGTACAGAATAGACGGTACATTTTTGTGCAGTTAGTACCTTACATGCAATAGAAGACATAGAATATACAATACAGACGATGCAAAAGTTAGTACAGAATGTGCGACATATGATGTACTCCCTTATACTAACAGTCCTTGATAGGGATTATAACAGGGGGGGTACTATAATCCCCATGAAGGACTGGTAGCATAAGGGGGAACATCCCAAATCACATTGAATATCCAAGTGTGTGGAGCATCTTGCCATCCTCGATGGAGGCCAGCTCGGGAGGCCGTGGCTTCACGGTCTTCCGCAAGTTCTCCTAAGAGTGGGGTAAGAAGCTTCAGGGTTGGTATGTTCCCCGCAGGCACTTGAAAAGGAGATTCTAGTACCCCCCCCCCTCCAGAATCCCTCTAAAGGGCTGTTAGTAAAAAGGGGGAGCATCGCAAGGTTTAGGGTTTAGGGCTTAGGGCTTAGGGTTGCTCTCACTGGGAGGGTGCGGTCAAGTCTCCGATGCAGCCGTGTGGGACTCGCCTGGCATGGACCGGAGCTGCGGTAATTGGGGGTTTCCGAAAATAGGTGTACCCTTCTTGGGTGGTTCCTATACTAGGGGTTATGCTACGTGGAAGTACAGTCAGGGTACCCCCTACTCGGGGAAATGGCCCAAGTGAGGATCGAAGAGCCTACGGACTTGTTGTCCGGCTCAGCCAAGTTGGCGCTCATCTTCTCACGGATGATGGAAACAGACCACCTCGGCTGCGCCAGCAAAACCGCCTAGAAAGCCCAAGGGTTTAGGGTTTAGGGTTTAGGGTTTGGGGTTTAGGGTTTAGGGTTTGGGGTTTAGGGTTTAGGGTTTAGGGTTTGGGGTTTAGGGTTTAGGGTTTAGGCTTCAGAACTCTTTAGAGGAGGTAAGCCCTCTCCTCCCTCCCCTCCCCTCTCCCCGCCCCTGCCGAGGCACTGGTCAATGATGCGCTCCTCCCACTGCGTACGCAACATGGAGGAGATTTCCCGGTAGCCGAAGGACAGAACGTTCAGAACCTGCCAGGCTTATGCAGCATGGAGCACTTGCCATGCGCCGTGGACTTGATGACTTCGCCTGATGCCACAGCTCCAGGATCTGGCACGACACAGAGTTGAGGTCGTAGGCCAGCAGCCTGGCGCAAAGCCCGACTACGTCAGACATCACGTCAGCACAAAGGTCCGCCGGGCCTGGACACTGCTTCAGGAGAGAGGCTTCCGCCGGACCTCGGCCGCAGCAGGCGCACCATAGCGACGATCGTGATGTTGAGCCCACTTATTGATGTATCATCCCTACAAATACTATGTCTAGTATATAAATATAAATATACATATATATATATATATAGTTTATATAGTGTATATAGTATATATATATATATAGTATATAGTATATATATTAACCCACTCATTGATGTATCATCCCTCTTCGCACCTGGATGCTCCCTGCTGGACTTGCCGAGGCGCTGCTGAAGTCGCTCGCGGATGCTTTCTTGCAGGTCGCTTCCCTCAGATGCCACGTCGGATCATGAAATCCGCAGGCAGCCTTGAGTCCCTAAACCCTAAACCCTAAACCCTAAACCCTAAACCCTAAACCCTAAACCCTAAACCCTAAACCCTGGGTTTAGGGAGGTTTAGGGCTGCGGGCCGAGCTGCGCCAGGCGGACACTCAAAGCCCGTCGCCGGCTTCAGCGAGCCTCAGCACTCGAGGGGACATGGACAGCAGTTGAAGCGCCTTCCTTGAGGTTCACGGTCGTTAAGGGTTAAGGGTTTAGGGTTTAGGGTTTAGGGTTTAGGGTTTAGAGTTTAGGGTTTAGGGTTTAGGGGTTTTCGACCCTGGTCTGTCTGACATCATGCAGCTGAGTTCGTTGGAGTTGGAACTTGAGTTCCACGCTGATGCCCGCCGATGAGCCGTTGACCCTCGACGCACCTAGCAGGACAGCTCGAGCACTGCAGGACGTAGTAAGTAGGCAGCAGTAAGTGGTAAGCCGTCAATTGCACATCGCGAACTAGAAGGCAACTCTGATCCCTAAACCCTTGATCGAAAGTCGCAAGTAGTAAGAAGCAAACTGTATGCAGCAAGTCATTCAGTAATAAGTGACAAGTTGACAAGCAGTCAATAGTGGGTAGCAGTTTGTACATAATGGCCCGTTTGTAAAGAGTAGTAAGTAGTGAAGTGGGTAGATACTGTAACATGAAAATATAGCACATAGTACAGGACCCTAAGCCCTAAGCTTTAAACCCTAAACCCTAGACCCTAGCTTCAAGCCCTAAGCCCCACAGCATTCTAACAGCCGCGGTCGACACCGGGCGGTGGCTGCTGCACGAGGCCCTTTGGCAGGCGCAGCGCCTCGGGCCCGCAACATTTGGGCAGGGTTTGGGGTTTTGGGTTGGGTTTCGGGGTTTACGGTTCGGGGTTTAGGGTTTAGAGGGGTCTAGGGGTCTAGGGTCCAGGGTTTAGGGTCCGGGCACGACATGGAACCCGCGCAAGCTGACGGGACTATTGAAAACGGCCCGGCTCAGAGTCCCAGAGTCCCAGAGTCCCAGGGCTCGGAGGGTACCACTCTGACACAGACCACTGACTCTGAGGCGGCTGGGGGCCCCTGGCGCTGATCCCCAGGTCGGGCGGCACGACGCTCTGCTCCGCTTCCATGTGGCCGAAGAGGGCCTCGCAGAGCCGTTTTGGGGGCGGTTTCGGGTTGGGATGCTCCCCCAAATACCGTCCTTCATGGGGATTACAATAGGACTAGAATCCCTACTAAGGACTGTTTGTATACGGGCAACAGCCAAAACAAGTTTAGGGTCTAGAGGGTTTAGGGTTGAAGGTTTAGGGTCTTTGGGGTTAGGGTTTCGGATGGTGGGGGGTGCAATGGGCAACATGATTTTCAAATGTCATCTCAATCCCCTCCCCCTAATAGGGGGTATTTAATATCAGGGGCTAGGGGGGGTTGAATAGAAGGAGGAGAGGGATTTCCTGAAACATCTCGCCAGCAGTCTCTCCAGCCTCGCGCTGCAGAGGCGTGAAACACCGCTCGCCTCGGCGCCACACCGGCCCAACAGGCCGACAACAAGACGGTGCAGCAGACATCAGACATCCGCGTTTAGGGTTTAGGGTTTAGGGTTTAGGGTTTAGGGTTTAGGGTTTAGGGTTTAGGGTTTAGGGTTTAGGGTTTAGGGTTTAGGGTTTAGGGTTTAGGGTTAGGGTTCTGGGGCCGCGGCAGATCTGCCTGAACCAGGCAGCTTGCTGCACGTAGGAGGAGGACAAGGCGCCGAGGTGGCGCCTGCAAACTTCCCATATGAGTCGCTAGGGCTTTTCGAGGGGGCTTTATAGCGTGATAGGGTATACATTAGGATGTTCCCCCTTCAAAAAAGTCCTTAACAGGATTAAAGTAGGGCTTTGTATAGCGTGATAGGGTATACATTAGGATGTTCCCCCCCTGGAAAAAATCCCTTAACAGGATTAAAGCCCAAGAGTCTGCGCCTGTAAAGCCCCTCCGCCAACTGGAGCAGACGACTCTGCTCCATGGGCTTCAGCAGCTCCTCATGGGTCCCACCAACGTCAACAGCAGCGACAAAGCAATTTCAAGAGCAACCATGGCTCTTCCTATCACTTCATGCAGGAAAGAACACGAGCGAAACGACAGCAAGGAGCACCCCAGCTTGAGACATGCGAAAGCACTGGTTGCCATGGTACTCCAAAGTCATGGTCATTGGGTTCTGCCTCGGCGAAGAGTGCCTCAGCCAGGGAGAGCGCCGCGGGTGGAGCAGCCTGCGCGGCACCCCCGAGTTCCTTGAGCCTTGGAGCCTCTGTTGACTCGCACCATTGTTCGGGCAGTCAACATCACTAGTGTCGATCCTTGATATGGCGAGCGTTTCCCAATAGGACTGCTCACGGTACAGTACATGCCCTGCACTGGCCACGAATACCGACAACCTCAACAACATCGGCAGCGGCCCGCAAAGACAAAAGCCATCATCACATGCTTTCGGCCAACTGCGGCACTTTCGAGACACCCTCCTCTTGCGCTGAGTGCACAAACTCAAGCAACCGTCTGTGCAATTAATAGGTGCGCGTGTGTATTTTGCGTGTGTGTGCGTGTGCATTCTACCTTCAAGGCTCAAGAAACTGGTCAACTGTAGCACTTAGTACTTGTGGCCCAGAACGCCATAGTCGGAGGGTCAAGCAGCCACTCATGTTGGGGTACCTACACTCGGTCCTTAGGCACCGATCCCTTGGGGTCTCCGGGAACAAAGCCCTGGTATGGCCTGCCAGCTGGATGGCGGCCGCTCCTGCGGACACTGGATCTCCCCTCAACCGCTCTTCGGGTCCCTACATGGCCCCTTACCTACTGGGGCCCGGTAATTGGGGAACCCTCTTAATTCCCCCACGTCTGCCGTATACAAACCCCCAAAGGGCCCAGACTTCAGAACCCTTTGAAGACACTTCGACACACTGGGACAACCATTTTTTCGAGAGCAGTGTGGTCCTGGTCATGCTCTTTGGACCCATCCGCGGAGGAGGAATGCAGAGAGTGCTTCACCACCTGAGAGGTTTCTTTCTCTGTCGAACTGCAAAAAGCAAATGCCGACCTTAACAAACCGAAACCGCCCGATACCGGGCATCACAGATAGTCCTGCATGCAAGCTTCTTCCTCCCCTAAACCCTCAACCCTAAACCCTAAACTCCCACCTCTTTATCTGGATTTGGGAGATTGAGGCCACCGCCGCGGGCACTCCAACATCACCACCCCGGCTTTCGCCGGTCTCGCTGTCCTTTCAGTGAGTCGAGGGGAGGAGGAGGGTTGAGGGGTAGGGTTCAGGAGACCATCATCGCAGAATGCAGAGCAGCCATGTTGCAGGACCAGCATCTCTTTTTGATGCGGCGTAGAATTTCAAGACTCACGAAGCAGTGTCCTTGTCGATTGTTCGGGCAAATCTGAGAGCATTCAGTATGACAAGGCTGGTCCTATGACCTCTGTATGACTAGCTCAGACACCACGTACCATCTGCTCCCACTGCTGCCTGCGCAGCCTGGAGAAACGTTGAAAAACCAACCCGTGTGATTCCGTCTTCATGGCCCTAGGGGCCGATTTACGCCCACGTCCCTCACTTCTTGCCGGACAAGAACATCGCAGCCTGGAGCCTGGCAGCTGCCTTCTTCACCTGAAGAGCGACTTCGTATTCTGGGGAGGGAGGGGTTTAGGGTTTAGGGGTTTAGGGTTTAATTAGGGTTTATAGGGTTTAGGGTTTAGGGGGGGAGGGTGGGGGGGGGAGTTCTAAACATTGAGGGATCGTCTTTTGCCGCAAAGAAGGCTCCCTCCCTGCTTCTGGAAGCTCCCCTGGGTTTGCTCCAACAATGGTGACCCTAAGCCCCTAAAAACCCCTAAGCCCTAAACCCAAGACGCCCCTCAAACCAAACCCGAGTGGCCTTGGACGTGGCCTCCAGCTTCTCCGTCTTGGAGTCTGCCTTCTCCATCATCTCCGTCGCGCTCTCCATCTCCTTCTTGGCCTCTGAAAAGCTCCGCTGGCGACTCGGGGTTTAAGGGTTTGGGGTTCTAGGGTTTAGGGTCTTGGGGTTTGGGGTTTAGGGTTTAGGGTTTAGGGCTTGGGGGTGTGTTAGGAAGTGTTTGGGGTTTGATTTAGGGTCGTAGTACGAACACAGAGGGGCGCAATGCCATGGGGGAAGTGGCCTGCCCTGATGTGGCGAGCGAACACAGGCACGGTGAAACTGGATGCACCAAGGTCAGGAATGGCTGAGACATGCCCTAAACCCGAAACCCAAAACCCTAAGGCCCTAAGGTAACCCTAAAACCCCCCACAAAGATGAGCTTGCACACACTTCTCCGCTTGCCTCATTCATGTCAATGTCTTCCGCGACCTGCAAGCATACCCCCAATGTCTTCTCGTGCTTGGCACGGGCTTCCAACGTGGGCCACAGGGTACAGTTGCAATAGTACTGGCTTTGCTCTTACACTTTTGGCTCTTCTTCAGGCTCCTCTTCGTAGGCTCATGAGGACAACCCTAACCATAAACCCTAACCTAACCCCTGACCCCTAACCCCTAACCCTAAACCCTAAACCCTAAACCCTAAACCCTAACCACTGTGGACGCATGCACAGTGTGCTTCTCCTCCCATGTGCCTCGAAGTCGTTGCAGAGGACCGAGAGCTGATTGGAGTCCACGGAGGCGAAGCCACCCATGACCACCACGGGCGTCCACTTGCCATCCTGGCAGGACAAAAGGATTCAACCAAAGGGCAAACAAGAACCAAAAACAACAAGAAACACACACACACACACACACAAGAGATTTCGGTATCGGGGGCGCCCAAGGGCCTAAGGGTCCAGTTCCAAGGGCTAGGGCTGTCCTGCTTGTAGCGGAGGACACCCACGTCGAGGGCGGACATCATGGGGGCGTGGTTGGCCAAGATGCCCAACTGGCCGCTGGCGCTGGGGAGGATGACCTCGGAGGCCGCCTCCCGGATCGCGTCGCCCTCCGCCGACTGGACCTTGAGCCTGAGCCGGTCGCCCTCGGCGATGACCTTCTCTTCGACCTCCTCACCCTCCTCCGCCCTCATGGCCACGGAGGAGCTTCGGACGGAGGGCCGCATACCCACAAAATCCAGACCCATGTTCTTGGCAAGCAGCGCGCCGGCCGCCAGGGCAATCAGCAGGGAGGCGGAGGAACGTGCCATGGCAGCGTACGGCCGAGAAAAGCTTCTGCTGGGGCAGCTGGAGGTCTGGGATCTCTCTGAGCCGCGGGGGGCGAGAGCAGCGCGTCGTCCACGTTAAAACACGCCTTGCAAGATGCAAACAAGTCCGGCCCTTCCCGGCTCTAAAAGCAAGTCCTGGCTCCCGGTTCCCCGGAGGTCCTGCGCCTCCGACTCCTTCGCACCCCTAGGGGCCGGGCCCGCGACCTCAGAGCTCAAGAGACACTCACAGAAACCTGAGACTCAGAACCTCCAATTCAAGATAATTCAAGAACATACGAGCGCTGATACGAAGAAGGGTTGCTCATACCACTCTCACGGGTGTTTGCGCCCCCTGCCTTGGGCTTCGTGGCCGCCGCCTTCCGCAACGCCGGGCGGACGCGGAAACGCAGATCCACCACGGCCTGCGGATCCCAGGGGATGGTCGGGGATAGGCTTTTGCAAGAGTCCTAATTGAGGCCCTAGGATGGCCATAACACGATCTTGTCACGGGGTTTCAGGGCTTCAGACAAAGGGAGAGGCGTCTGCGTGCCATGGGGCCGAATGCACCGCCAAGTTCAGCAGGCAGAAGTGGCACTCGTCGAACACGACGGGGCAGAAGTCGTGCAAGCCCCTCTCCTTGCATGGAGAGCCGAAGCTTAGGGCTTCCGAACATAGGGGGGGGGGGTGCCTTATATGGGGTCTCTCTCTCTCTCTCTCTCGGTCGCTGCAGAGGTAACTCCACATAGCGGCGCTGTGAGACATACAGTCTGGCACTGTGACCAAACCGGCTCATCGTGTGAGCAATTGGTGAAGGTTCCACATGACCGGCCCGAAAGGCCCAAGCATCATGTGGGGAGGCCTCATGTCTATATGTACACAAAACGGAACAACAAAAGAAGCAAAACGAGAATGCCGCATATCAAAGGTGAACCATTTGTACAAAACGAAGCAAGGAAAAAGACATAGTGATAGTGAGCCGCACTTGCACATGGGGTTATATGGGGTCTTTGTTATATAAGGGCATCCCAGTATTTTTGGGGGCTACTTTCGGGGTCCCCCGTGTTCGTAAACCCCCATATGGAGATCTGTGTAGACTCAAAGAAGAGAGGACGAGGACCGCCAGCTACTTCCCATTCGTGTGAAAGCATGAGTACAACGCCACGAACTCTACGACTCTTCATTGCTACGACTCTTCACGGTACCATTCTCCACTGTTTCTACTACTCTTCTGCTTCTTTCTGCTCCTACGACGTGTTTTGCTACCTCGATGATCCTCTGAGGCGGCGGCCACACCGCGGAGTCGCAGGATCTGCGTAGAGACGCAGCGGAACTCTGCCGACCTGGGCCCAGAGGCTTGGCTGTGTCTTAAAGCGCCCCAAAGGGGGGGATGGTACTCTTATGACAAATCTATTGTGAAAGCTGAGTGTGGCTCTTTTTATTGCACGTCCTCTTATGACTCTTTTACTTACTACTAGGTCTGAGTCTGATGAGGGTTCACGAAAATAAGGGAGCCCAAATACAGACCCCAACATTAGCAGGATCCCCTTATCAAAAGGTACCCCAAATAAGGTACCCCTAATATCGTAAACTCCCTTATGACGAATCTTGAGAGGCTCCAAAAGGCTCTCTAAACCCTAAACCCTAAACCCTCAACCCTCAACCCTAAACCCTAAACCCTCAGCGCATGGTGCTGGGCTCCAGGCTCCACGTCTGGCTGATCACCAAGAGGCTCAGAGGGATGCTGGGTGAGGTCCGCAAACATGAGCTCCACCTGGAGATCCCTTTCCCCCCCGGGCTTCTTCATAGGGAGTTGAGGGACGAAGGGCCCTCTGTGTACCCCTTTAAGGGACTTCTTAGTGGGGAGGGAAGTAGGGCCCTCTCTGTATACCCCTTTTGAGGGAAGGTGCAGGGTACCTCATGCCCTCATCCCCTACGAAGAGCCAGCCAGTCTGTGTCTCGAGCTGCACAGCCATGACTTACTTGCATCTCGCACTCGCTGCACCTCGAGGAGAAGGGGATTCCGCCGCTCCAGCCTGGGATAGGGCATCTTAGCATGTGGGGGGCGCGTCGGGTCTTTCTGTGAGGTCGGGGGGAGGTTGTGCGGAGGATTTTGTAGCAGCCCGGGCACTCGGAGGGGCTGAGCTCGATCCGGAACTGGCCGACGTCCCCAAGCTCGACCTCCTCCTCGCAGTAGCGGATGAGGAAGCTACGCGTGGAGAAGGTGTACCTCAGACTCCAAGTGTGCTGACAAGCAAGGTTTCTTGAGAAAAAAAGCTTCTTGAACAAAGAAGCACATAAACTACCTCGAGTAGTACCAGAATATGCTGGACCATTTGCTGTCAAGTCAGCACGGCTCATCGGGCTGGAATTCGAGCTAGTATCCCAGAAAAGTCCGAACTGCTCGACAGTGGAAGTCGGTACAGAGCTACTCCGGCGATTGCTCTTGCTGTACTTGCTGAGGTTTGCGAGTCTTCGTTCATCTTCTGTCCCTAACTGCTCCCATTGAAATGACATGGTCCTGCACGCACTACTGGCAACACTGGCGGCTTGCATCCTACCCTTCTTGCTACTCTACCTCAGTCCCCTTATGGCTTTGTAACGTTGAAAACCCCTAAGCGTCAAACCAGATGACCCTGTGCCCTTTCTTGTACCCTCTGCCTGTTTCTTGCTGAACTCAAAAAGGTTTTTGCCATGCCCCCAAGGCACATCTCTTCGTTGAGGTGCGCCGGGATCCTTGGGACGCGTTTCGTTCCATGACAAAAGAAGAGCTACTGGGAAACTGATGCAGAGCAGAGCTACAAGAAAGACGCTTTTGGTACTTCTAATCACCATACGAATCTCAACGCTCATGCTATTTATGATTATATACCGGACTTAATCTTATTCATGGGTAATATTGAAAGGGTGCATAAAGCTGTAGTCAAGGGACGAAAGCAACTAGTAACAACAATGAGCAAGAAGTAAGCATGCAAATATGTATGAAAAAAGTTGCACAAAAAAACGCGATGGGACCGCTAGGAGTGATGAAAATGATCATCAGAACAAGAATCTCCGGCATGATAGCTCATTGTCTGGAAATGTTGGAGGTGCTACATAAGCGCAACTTACTCCGAAGCCTGAGTAGAGAAGAGACGGGGACACGTTCAGGGTCTTTTCGAGACCTTTGGGGCTTGCATGGCTTGTACTTCATCGGTTCCTGACATCATCGCCGCTGTCCACAGAAGAATCAAGTCGTTTTGGGGCCCTTTGGCAGACGATTGTTGACAGCCCAGGCACAAGTTGTGGTGGTCCACCCGGGGCTTGCCCTTTGGCGGCTCCATGGCCATAGAAGGGCCCTGGCCACAACGAGATCGGCGGAGTGTCTTTCCACAAGGTTCAGCTCTTCTTGTTTCTTTCATCTCGCCTGTAGCTCCCTTTTGCTGCCCTTCCCGTCCGACCGCCATGATGGGTCAAGTTGACTGACAGGTCCAGAACCCTTCTCGCAGCGTTGCGCAGCCTGAAACCATCTGAAAAAGTCGCAAAATGTTCCCCTATAAGCTCTCAACCCCGACATGCGCGATGACATCCGGGCCTTGAGGTAGCTGTAGGGGCAGGCCAAGGACCGGCCCTCGTCATCTCGATAGATGCGGGTCTTCAGGTGGTAGAGGCCTCCCCCCCCCCAAGGGCGCAAAGTGGTACTTCCCAACACAGGGCAGAGGCGTCCGGGAATCCCCGCCCCTTGATTCTCGACCCCCCCCCCCCAATACACCACACACGCCTGATGTTGTAGGAAACCCTGCTCCCATGTTCGGAAACCCTTGAGCTGCCTTGGTGGAAGAGGTCGACGTTCCGAAAGCTCTCAAACTGGAGAGCCAGCTCGACGACGGTGCACAGCGACATCGCTGCTTTGTGAGGCTCTATGAAGGGTTGGGGGGGGGGGGCTGAAATGCACAAGCTTCAAGATGCCTAATCCCCTGGATGCTTCAAAGATGTAAGGTTCGGGTGAAGGCGAATGCTTCGGGGTACAGAGCTCACCCGCAGAGCCCTTTTGGCTCTCGGGGCGCTCTCCGGGTGCACTCAAAGTGCACTCAGCCCATGCCCGCCAGCTCGCACGCCGTGGGTCGCCGGGCACTTAGATTGAGTTTGGCTAGCTGGGCTGTCCAAAGTTCACGCCTGCGTGTTTATTGTGTCCTCATTCAAGCACTTCTGACCTTGGAACTACTGCTTCCTAGCAACTTGTATAGTTTTGGCAAGTCTGAGGTGTCAAGTACGGCTGGAGTGCCAAGTGCTTGGACATTTGCTGGCTCATGCTGCTCCATGTTTGTATCTAAACCGCTTTGACGCTGAACGGCAACCAAGCAGTCTGCTTCAAAGGACCGGTGTTTCTGCCGCGGATATCCTGCTCCAGCTGCAGGGAACCCCAAAGCCCAGACGCAATCACGATCATCCGGATAACGTTGGGCAACCACCGTCAGCAACCTTCAACCGAAGCCACTGGTGAAGGCTTGGTTTCGAGGCAGGGACTGCCATGTCTAGGACCTGCTTCTTCACCTGCACAGATGAGGCACAAGGGGGTTTCGGGTACTCAAGCTCTAGAACCAGAACACCCCTCCAAACCTTACACCTAACAACCCTGAAGCCCTGCTCATCCGGACAAAGGCAGCCTCGCTTGCCAAGCCACTGGCCAGCGTGGCGGCCAGCTGCTCTGGCAGCTCCAGCCTGGTAGGCAAGGGCCCTTTCTTGAACAAACACTTGTTGCTTCTGATGACGACTACAACCAGCATCACTCTGACGATGACTCTCACTACTTTTCCCAATACTATTACAATGGCTGCATGTGCATGTGCATGTGCATGTGAAATTGCAATTGCAATTGCTATTGCTGTTGCTGTTGCTGTTGCTGTTGCTATTGCTATTGCATTGCTATTGCTGTTGCTGTTGCTATTGCTACTACCATTCCGGTTCCTGTTCCTGTTGTTTTTTGCTGTTCCTGATACCGCTACTGTTGCTATTGCTATTGCTATTGCTGTTCCTTTCGCTTGTGGGAGAACTACAACTATTCTGATTACAATTACTACTACATGCCATGATTCGTTTTGCAAGATGGATGGCTCGGAAGCTTGCTTTGGGTCGAGGTGTGTTACGCGTTAGGGTACATGTTTCAAACCCTACCCTACACTCTTCCCGGTAAACTCCGTATTCAACACAAACCTGGAACGCACTTTACACGGGCAGCCAGCAACATGCTCACAACAGCATCTCAAAAATGTCGCTCAGCGAATGCGGCTCAGCTTTGAAATTGCGCCGTTTCAGCTGTTCTGTACACATCAGAGCCACGTTTCAAAGCGCTTGCGACAGTGAGAAACCAGATGCCTCAAGAGCGTCCGCTGCTTCGATTGCAAAATCCAAGGCATCCACCATCGTTCTTGCTGTGGTACCTGGTCTGCGACAAGGAATCCCACCAGGTGCCGCACCGGTCGCATTTTAGCATTCCTGGACGTCGGAACTGCGTGAGGAACTGCCGAATCAAGCGCTGGTTGCGGAAGACCTTCCTGTCTCTGTTCGTGCCAAGAATCAGCTTTTGGCTATGGAGGTCTTTGCCGGTGGATGGATCATATGGTATCAGCTCGTACCTGGTGTCCTTACCTCCACCAGGAGGTACATGAATTCCTTGCCTTTTGATGAGGGCCGTAGCCCTGTGGCATTGGCCTTGCTTTGCATTGAGGACAGCATCGATGATGTCGTCCATATCGCGTTCACATTCCAGTGAGTTCTCCTGTCCAAGGCTGCGTGATTCGTTTGCGACGCTCTCTGCGGACTCCTCCCAACTCTCATGCTCGAAATTCAACTTTGCATCCTTTGGGATTGGTGGGGGCGGCAAGCGCCGGCCGAGGCCAAGAAGAGCAATGACTTCAGCGTCACTTTTCGGAATGTGCTCTCCTGCCTCATAGTTGTGCAGACCTTCTTCATGGAGGGACTCAATTGCTCTCTTCACCTGCCTCTCTCCCACTTGGAGTCGGGCGGCCAATGCAGCAATATCAAAAGCACCTGCGTCGCTTGAGGAAGAGCTGCCGTCACAGGACGGCGTGCTGATGCAGCGTTGATTGACAGAAGACAACCTTACGCTGTGCACCCCTACCCGTGCACCCAAGAAGCGCCGCACGTGCGGAAGAAGAACCATCGCAGCTGTGCGACAAGTCCTTGAGTCAACGCCCTGACACGTGTGACAAAAGTGCACATGGTTTGCTGCTCGCTATGACCAGGATGATGGGCATGGAAATGTGCTCTTAATTGCTAACTTGTCTCTGTAGGTCGCATGGACCTGTAGGTGTTGTTAAGCGACCTAACACTGTTCCGGGCTCTCCGCACCTCATCCCTGAGACTTGCGAAGCTTGCGAAGCCCACGCAACAGCAGTCCGCCTGCATACGCCGCAGGCATTCAACGTCTTGGGCTGCCCCGGCAGCACGCGCACTCGACGGGTGCCCTGGGAAGCACTCTCTTTGATGCGACTTCGCGTGGTCATGTCTTGGGACGGCCCTCGTTGCTTCGTGGCACTATGTGCGGTCCCTGTTACCTCACAAGCTCTGCATAACTTGAAGCATCGCACCGAGAGGCCAACGTCGCCTTCTGCGAGCCGCCCTCGCTGACGACAGTGCCCTGGCTTTCCTCATTTTCCTCTGCCTCTGCAAAGACGAACGAAAGGAAGTGAACTCACCCACATGGCCAACTCTCTACAAGCATAGAGTGGTCCTCTTTTGTTGCTCCTCTGGATTATGGGCCCTTCTTCCGTGCTCCCAGCACAGGGCTCACAGGGCTTGCAATGGCTTGGCCTGCGGCTGCGCGCTCGGCTTCGCCGGGCCGCTGTAACTCTCTGGGCGGCGCGTTCCTGGTGACCTCTGACGCAGTCGGGGGCCCCAGATTGCAGGAAGACGAAGACGATAAAAGGCACGGCAGTTAGGCCAAAAAAAATATGATGTAGGGGCTTGATCGTGTGCAGATGTGCTGATCTAGCCGTCTGTCCACCAGGCTCCGCACTTGTACAGACGAACCTGAGACAGCTTCCGACACGGACGCACTGCTCAACTGCAGCTTCAGCTGCAGCATCTTGCAAAACACTTGCACGATCACTTGAGTGGCCCTAAACCCTGAACCCCGAACCCTGAACCCTGAACCCTAAACCCTAAACCCTAAACCCCAAACCCTAAACCCCTAAACCCCCTAAACGGCAGCCCCTGTCTTGCGTGCAAGACACCGATTCGGCCAAGTGGGGACGTCGGCCCCGAGCTGAGTACCTCTCAAAGAGAACAGTTTCGCGCCCCCGCAACCCATTTTAAGGACTCTGACATTCTTCCTGGGAATTTGGAGAGGCAAAAAAACGGTGTGTGCGTCGTTTGAGGCTCAGGCGCCGTCGCCTGGGCAGGAAAGTCGAAGGAAGAGCTGAGCTGGACCAGAAGACGCTGTGGAAAACGAACCGCAGCCAAGCCGCATCTGTGCTATCCACCATGTCGGACGGCCGGGTGATGCCATGATCAGCACTTCATGCGATTCATGGGAGAGGTTGCCTCGAAAACGTGGGAATCTTTGGGAGCATTTGCGAGGCTTTGCGAGGCCTTGGTGGATGTTTGTGGCCAAAAGAGACGTTGAGCACCCCGCAGACACGGCCAATGAGCAGCTAATGCTGACGGTGATTGCACCACCGCGTTCGCGCAACAGGCGGCCAGATGTGTAAGCTGTCAGGGGATGCGTGCCAGGCGGAGCTCCCGGCCACTTTCGGGCCATAGAAAGGGCATTAGGCAACAGCAGCTCCTGCACTTTTTTGGCTGATGCCCGGCTACACATGACCTGTCATTGAAATCATTGCAGCGCACAGGTAGCTTTGTCAGCTGCGGAACACGGCGAAAGCCATCAACAGAGATACTCCCCTTAGAACCTGAATAAAAACAATATCTTTAATATCCTCTTGGGTTTTATATAAACAAAGATCGAAAATAATTCCCAAGGGGGATATAGCCAGGGCCTTAAAAGAGCCGCTCATGACGTGAAGCTCAGGTTGCTGATCTGCTTCACTGAGGATCGCTTGTCCACCTGGCCAGGGATGGCTTCCTTCAGTCATGCCGGGCCTTCCTGCAAGAAAAGTAACACTAATAATCATAGTAATAATAGTAATAATAATAATAGTAACAATAATCATTCAAGGAGTTCCGTAGACATTCCGCCTCGATTTGGGTGCTGCCTCAATTTTGGGTGCTGCTTCAGGGGGAGGTTGTTCGCTGAAGCAGCACGCTGAAATTGAGGTGGAATGATAGTCGAGGTGGCACGCTGTGAAAATCAAGTGGGTTTCGCTAGAAAGGCTATTTTGCGTGAGAAGAAACATGTCAGGCCAAATTCCCGTGCCAAATGCATGCTGCCTCGATTTGGGTGCTGCCTCAGTTTCGGGTGCTGCTTCAGAGCGTGGGCTTCGCGCTGAAGCAGCACGCTGAAATTGAGGTAGAACGATGCTTGAGGTGGAACGGTTAGGGAAACCCTTGAATCATAATCATAATCATAATCATAATCATAATCATAATCCTAATCATCATCATCATCATCATCATCATCATCATCATCATAATTAATCATCATCATCATCATCATCATATTAATAAAAATAATACTAATAATAATAAGAAGAATACTAATAACAATAATGATAACAATGATAATTTTCCCAAGAGCAACAGAATCCCAAGCTCGCCAGCTGGACCCTCTTCCCAGAGTAGCCCTTCACGTGCGCGTCGTTGGAATTGTCGATGAAGGGGTTCACGCAGTCGCGGTCATCCTTCAGCGAGAAGTTGGCCTGAGCTGGTTGGGATGGTGAGATGGCAAGAATCACTCCAGACCTCCTCCTTTCCAGGGTTTAGGGTTTAGGGTTTAGGGTTTAGGGTTTAGGGTTTAGGGTTTAGGGTTTAGGGTTTAGGGTTTAGGGTTCAGGGTTTGGGGTTTTGGGTTTCGGGTTTCGGGTTTGGGGGACATTCTTCCCCACTTCCCCCGATGAGCCTGGCCCATCTTCATCTTGCGAGCATTCTTCTTGCGGATGCTCTCGCCGTCCTGGACCTTCAAAGGAGGTCAGACCCACACCCCGAATCCACGCCCACTGGTGGCGTTTAGGCCAAAAAGCCAAAGCCCCAAGAAAACCCCATAAACCATTCTATCGACACCCTAACGTCCCAAAATGCTTGGCACCGGCTGCTTTGAGCATTCCGGAAATTCCGGGTCCCTGCACGAGCAGGGCCGTGTAGCGATACAAAATGCGCGGCGCATGAGTGATCGCAGCTTCAAGGTTTCTGCCCGGTTTGGTTCCCTCCCCTAGTTCCTGACAGGCCTGCCCTTGGTTCGTGAAGCAAGTACGAGAGCTAGCGAGCAAAAGAGAAAGACAGAGAGAGAGAGAGAGAAAGAGATAGAGAGACAGAGAAAAATCACAAATAATGCTTATCATAACGGTCAAAAAGCTCCTGCTTGCAGGCCCTCGAGAGTTCTGGAAGTGGGAAGCTATCGGAGACGTCTTCAATGTTTCGGGCGTTTCGTTTGTTGCAAAAAGGAACAGAATAACAATTGAACATAAGAACAAGAATAAGAATAATAGGAATAATACTAATGAAAATAACAGTCATAAGCTCGCACCAATTTGAAAGCGGTGCCCGCCGGTCCGCATCGCAACGATCGCATGGGTTGGCTGCGGGTCACTGCTCTGTGCATCCCGTCCCCGCTTCCTTTAGGTCATCGCAAAGTCGGAATGTTTTCACGCAGAGCCAAGGAAAACCTAGAACCCAAAACCCAGACTCTAGCCCAGAGGCGTTTAGCGTAAGTTTCGCAAGCCCGAGACCCCTAAACCCCCCAAAACCCCTCAATCAAACTGCACTGGGCTTCGAGCCCCGGCTCTTTTCCGATCCCGGACCTTCGCTTTCTCCAGGGCCTCCAGCTGATCCTCACGCCCAATGACGGGGTTTCCGAAAATAGGGGGACCCTTTTGGGGGATCCCTTTAAGGGGATTCTATTCTGTTTGGGGTCTAAAAGGGGTACCCCGTGTTGAGAAGCACCCAGCTGCGACCCCAACAAGGACTCTGCTGGCATTTGAAGGCTGCAGTGTTTCTACTTTCTGGCAAGCGCATGTTGGGGAAGCTTCCGGGTCGCGTTGTGCTTCCTCATCATGCATGCGCTTGCTCCAGCCCACGCTATTGAAGGCTGCCAATGCGACTTCTTGAGGAGCAAAGACGGAGAGGGATCATTTTGATCCAAAGAGCCATGCGCCTTGGCTTGCACTGAAGACTTCTCTATGCCCTCTGCAGGACATGCCTCTCAACATCTTTCTTTCGAAGGCAGTCCTGCATCTGTCTTAGGCCAGCTTCTCCCACAGGCCTCGGCGCAACACGGAGGGGCTCGTTTTGGGGGATGCCGGGCCTGAACCTCACCTAATCCTCGAGGTTCCAGGCTCCCACAACTAGGAACGGCATCCTTAATGGCAACTTCCCGCTCACTGATAACAAACCATCCCTTGAGAATCTTCTGGTCCCCGCATCCCCTTGCCCCCCTAAAGCCCCACAGCAGAACACGACATCAGCACACCGCACCGCTCAACACCAGGGCAGGCCCTTGAAACTCCTGGAAAAATACCTACTCCTGCTCATAGGAGATGTATATGTATGTGATATAAATATCTACGAGCATCTATATATCTCCCAAGAATCGTATTCAGAGCACTTATAAGCTCTCAGAAAATCCTTGAATCCTACACCCAAAAACCCTAATCCTTCAACCCCCTAACCCCACACCCCAAACCTTTAAACCCTAAGCAGGGGCCACGGCTCGGACGGTTCGGGGGCGCGTGTCACCGAGGCCTCCGTCATCGGCGCCCGGGCGGTGGGGGGCGGCGCTGCCTCAGCACCGGCCTGGGCATCTCCAAGGGGCGGCGGCGGAAATTCAGGCTTGCACATATACATATACATACACATACACATATACATATACATAGGCATATGCATATACATATACATATACATATACATGTACATGTACATATACATATGCATATATATATATATATATATGCGTATATATATTTGTATATATATATATATGTATGTATTGTTGATTCATCTAAGTTTGCATTCGTATTTCTACTTGTATTTGTTTAGTCTGTCTATGTTTGTATCTATATATAAATATACATATATATGTGTATATATAGATGTATATATATATACATATATAGTATCCTATAGTTGTGTCTATTTATATATACCCATGTGTGCCTCCATCGTACTAGGCCTAAGGCGGCTCAGGGGTGTCGTCGGCTCAAGCTGAGGGCACTGCGCGCTTGTACATGTCTGACTCACTCAGAGACTGGTTGTCCTGGTAGCCTGCACCTCGGAAGTGAGGCTGACCAGAAGGCTGGCCCAGCATCCCAGGGTTTAGGGTTTAGGGTTTAGGGTTTGGGGTTTAGGGTTTAGGGTTTAGGGTTTAGGGTAGAAGGGTTTAGGGTAGAAGGGTTTAGGGTTTAGGGTTTAGGGTTTAGGGTAGAAGGGTTTAGGGTTTAGGGTTTAGGGTTTAGGGTTTAGGGTTTAGGGTTTAGGGTTTAGGGTTTAGGGTTTAGGGTTTAGGGTTTAGGGTCCCTTGTTTAAAGAATATACCTTGTACATAATACACCTTGTGTCAGACTTCAAGCTCCCAACGGGGCTTTGTGTTTCCAAGGCTCAAAGGGCAATTTTGGCTGGCACCACATCGCATGTCTCTGTACACAACTGACAAGCAGTTGGGGCGACGATGGTGTGGGAGTCTGGTCTTTTTGAATCTAGAAGCGAGCAGGAACAATGGCTATACGCCAGCTACGGCTGGTCTTCATGACTCTTGCCCCATCGTCCATGTCTTCAGTCATCACTGGCGAGGGCTCTTCGAAAACTTCGCTGAGCCGGGACCGCTGTACCTCGCATGGGACTCTTGCCTGGAGCGATAGATATGTACACTCCGCCAACAGGGGTGTTTGAGGTCTGCCGGGCTGTCCTTAAGACATCGAATCGCAGAGCCGTGCCCCACTGCCGCGGATATCAAGAAAGTTGCGGGTTGCTCTGGCCCCGCTTGTGTGTTGCACCGCGGGCTTGTACGGGTTCACCCGGAAAACACGAGGATACACCTGAATCAGGCCTGTGCTACTTGCTTAGTCGATAGCATAACTGCTGAGTCCAAAAATCCCCACCTTGAGCTACTGCCGGTCTCAGCTGGAAAGTCCCTCAGGAGATGGTGTTCGTGAGACAAGTCGCTGGAGCCTTTTGGGTCACACCCCAGTGTCTTCACATGATCGCCTACTTAAAGACTAGAGAAAACTCGAGCCGGACTTTTAGGGTTTAGGGTTTAGGGTTTAGGGTTTAGGGTTTAGAGTTTAGGGTTTAGGGTTTAGGGTTTAGGGTTTAGGGTTTGCTCAAGATCATGAGTATTCAACTCAAAATATTGTTTATCGAGTACATCCAAAGCACATACGGTCACATTGATCAGTATACTATCCAGTCCGCTCAATGTTGTGCCACAACTCCGGTAGAACACCCAAGGTTGTTTTCATATGTACAGTTGACACTCGTGATACGTGCTTGTCGTCTTCGATCAGAACGATTGGATCGTGTTTACTGACATGTGAAAATCACCCTAAACCCTAGTCGCTACATGGGTTTATGAATGGCGCGTGAACCTTCTCGCTGCTTGCAGCTTCTGGCGGATGTGAACATATGCACCTTCTAGTGTCCTTGCAGATTACTTGCCGTTACAAAACAACCTGCTTTTTTTCCGCCCTCGTTGACAAATGCCAACATATTCCTGGATGATGCCAATATTTGTTGAATGGGCTTGCCACACGTGTGAAGTGTGCTGTATATGATACATACCACATACAAATACAAATACACATACACATACACATACAAATACAAATACAAATACAAAGACAGACATACCGACATACACACATACCTACATATAAATGTATGTATATATACATACATACATATATATATATATACTTTATATAATATAGATATATGTATGCTCATGTGAGTGCACATTTTTGGCAGATCATTGCTGTTAAATGTTTCATTCTTTCCTTTTTGGTTTCAAGGGTGCCTGGATGAACTGCCACGTGATTTCATTGACCTTGTTGGACGTTGCTTGGTGAGCGTGCGGAAGTTTGTTGGGATGCTTGGATGCTGTGTAGCTTCTTCCATCTGGGAAGAACTGGAACTATGAAGACCTGGGCGAAGTAACTTTTGGTAGCCCTGCTTCTGCATGCTAAGCCAGAGGCCTGCGCAGACGACGCATCCGCTCCTGCCAGGGGCTCCACGCAAGCAGACCACACCCCAGCGAGGAGCAGACCTCGACGGAGCTCCACTGTTGCAAACGCGAGTATATGGCTCACTTCTCACATTTCCGCATCCCCGGCTCCTTCTTACTGGGACGTCTGGTGGGCGCCGCGTGGCCTGACAGCAAGGGGGGGGGCGAATTGCCGTTTCTGGACGTCGCCTTAAGAGATCCATAGTAAAGAGGCTCTTCGCACCATCGCCTGGGGCGTGGCAGAAGTTGCAGGCGTCGGCAGCTCGGCAGATCCCTCGAGGCGCAAAGCTGCAAGGCTTGCAGATCCTTGGAAAATGTGGGGAAGGTTTTGAGTCGGGCTTACAAGGCCCCGTGCGACCCGAAATCAAAGGCTGCAACTCTGTGCCGCATCTAACAATGAACCCTATGTCTAAATCCTTCAAAGCACCCGAAGCACTAAACGCTGCAACTGGCAGCTCTGGATTTGACCGGGCGGCATGAGATTGTGGGCCACCCAGGTGGGAGGCTCCTTCCACCAACAACGGTTACAGGGGGTACAGGGCCACGTCAGAATCACGTGCGGACGTCTACAGCTCAGAGGTTCGCCGAAAGTTGCGAAGCCACCCTGGTCACGTGTCAGCCTGACCCCTAGACCGTAAGTCCGAATCTCATCATCCTCGAACGATCCCTTCACAAACTGCGGGTGCTGGCCTGCCATGCGACATGTTCGAGGAGCCTGGGTGCTTGTGCTCCTCTTGCATTCAGCTCAAGCTAACTTTGCAAGAAGAAGCTGAACAGACTAAAATGTGCAAACATCTCGTTGCTGTGGAACCTTGAGTCCAGCCGGAAAGAAGAAAGGCATGCTTCGCAGACAGTCGCTTGGAGTCCGAGTAGCTGGTTCGCGAGATTCTTGCAGCGCAGGTCTGCTGCTGCAAGGAACTCGCCAATGCTGCTGGACCATTTTTCTTGTGCACCTAGTCCCGTGAATGGCAGGCCAACAGCGCACATGCTGAATGTACTGCGTGTATGACACATGCATCACGCAAAGCATTTGATGAGACCGCTGCTAAGCAAGTTATCCGCCGAGGCTTCGGGCCATAGGAGTTCTTGATAGTGTCCCAGCGCAACTTACTGCAATCCTCGTGATGACAGTTGGGGCCGACCATAACAAGCATCGAAGAGGGCACCCTCGCACCCCTCCGCCCGAGATTCCGAGTGGCGAAAACCGAGTCTTAGCCATGCAGGTTGGGTTGGGTACTTCACCTGGTTCAACCACGCTTTGCCCAGGCCGAGGCGGGTCACGTAGCGAAACATTACGATCATGATTGTGCTTGTGGCTACGAGTTCGTGATGACTACTACTTGTATGTATTTTGAATACGCATATTGATTGTCATTGTGATGCTGACGATGACACCGTCATTGTTCTGATTACGAACTGCCCATGCTGCCCAGTGGCTGCTGGGTAGCAGCGCCAAACATCGCTCAACCTCCTTGCTGATCCTCTGCCTTGAATACAGCATCGCAAGGCCAAGGGATTCCCCTGCCCCCTCCGGCAAAACGCTTCAGCGGCTGGGGTTCCGGGTTTAGGCTTCCACCGAGGCTCATGAAGTCAACCTCCTCCGCCGAAGATAGGCCTGCCTCGCGCCGGGGCTGGAGGCTCAACAGGCTCTTGGAGGGCAGGGTTCAAGGCTTGAGGTTTAGCAGAACCAAGGGCTGCTTGACTCTCACCTCCCCCAAAGAATGGCCGGTGAGATATATATATATATATATACATATATATGTATGTATATATATATGTATATATATATATATGTATATACATACATACATACATACATACATACATACATACATATACATACATATACATACATACATATACATAAACATACATACTGTGCACAATACATATACATACATATACATACATACACATACATATGCATACATAGACATACATACATACACATACATATGTATACATATACATACGTATACATACATATACATACATATACATACATATACATACATATACATACATATACATACATACACATACATACACATACATACACATACATACACATACATACACATACATACACATACATACACATACATACACATACATACACATACATACACATACATACACATACATACACATACATACACATACATACACATACATACACATACATACACATGCATACATACATATATGTATAAATAAATAAAAAAAATATATATATATATATATATGTATATATATATATATACATATACGGCTCGCCCTATTCATACAAATTTTTGTAATTAGCGAGCCGAAATACCATTCTTGTTGAGTGGCTCGCACAGGAAAATAAATAGGATGGATTTCTGGTGTTTAGGTGGTCAGGCTTTGGTCTTGCTCAGCGCCCGTATGCTTTGCTCATGGTAAGCTGTTGGCTGTAGTAGAGATATTCTGTTTAGATCTGTTTAGGCACGTGTATTCCCCTTTGTTTAGCCGCCACTGGGTTCTGCGGCGTCTTCCATTGCCTTGACTTCCGTCATGATCTTCTCCTTCTTCTTCCGGTTCTGCTTTTTCTCCCCTGGTCGTGTAGCTGAGGTGGACGTCGGCTGGGGCGTCCGTAGTCCATGCAGTGGCCATGGCACTGCGTCCCGTGTTCCCCTGCAAGGCCAGCTCTGCTACGAAGTCGTACACGCGCGTTCTCCCCCCTGACAAATCGCCTCTAGTTTGGTCCTGGCGCCTTTCTGCGGCTGCTACCAGCCGCCTGATGGCTGTATCGAAGCGGCTACTACAGCAAAGCCTTGCCGCGGAAGTCCGCTTCGCTTTCCTGCCCAGGTTGGAGTGGCTGTGGCATGTGCGCGAGGCGGGTGCCCTCGTCAAGTTCTCGGAGTTCCAGGACTGCTCCTGCTGAGTCGCTACAACGAAGGGCATGGTGCGCTTATCGCAGTGTGGTGGCTCTGTAGAGTTGCGCTGTGTTCCGCGCCCGCTTGCGTCGGGTGCTGCAGATTCCTTAGGACATCTGCTGGGGGGTAGTGTTTGTGTTGGGTTGTGTTGGGTTGTGTGGGCTTCAGGGGTTAGGGTTTAAGGAGATTAAGGCCCAAGGCTTCGGGGGTTCGCTGCGAGGATTGGTTGGCTACTGGCTCTCTTTCGCTCCGCCGACCTTGATGAGGCCACCCTGCACCTGCGCCGACTTCAACCTGGAGGAGATTTGGGAGTGTTTCGGGCATCTCTAGATCCTGGGGACGGGATTTGAAAGGGTTCAAGGATTGCTGAGATGTCAGGCACTTAGGTTTTGGGGGAGTCTATGGAGCTTTGGGGCGAAGGGGGGGCCCCGGCCTGATGTCTGATGTTCTGGGAGCGGGTTTACAGAAGGACAGGGGTATGTTTTAGTGGTCGGGCGGTATGGAAACAAGGTCCCAACACCCATATGGGGGTTTCCGAAATTCGGGGTTTTGGGGCCCTTATCTTATGCCGAATCCACATACAAACCCAGGTCCATGCATTTTATGTTGGGGCTCCCTTATGTTCGTAAACCCCCCGGAATGCGACACAAAGCCCTGAAAAACGAGAGCTCCTGTGGCACCTGAACCCAAGGAGGCGCACCTCGTAATCGCGGCCTGCGGCACCCGAGGATCGTCAACCTTTCAGTCTGCGTACTTGAGGGTTCAAACCACTTGTAACTGTACGCGTAACCCACTTAGAAGCCCCTTAAGGGCCCTAATATGGTTCTAATTTGGGCTCTAAGTACAGTCATCCTTGGTTCAGAAGTACCATGAACCTTCAAGTAGCTGTTGAAGAGAAAACCACCGAACATGGGTGAAAAAAACATGCTCCCAAAACTGTTCCCACAGCACGTTCCCAAGATGTAGCGTCGGAAACTACATAAGACTCCCCATATTCGGCATTCCTAAAACGCACTGCTTCAGATTTTAGATTCGGGCGGTGCTTTGGTAAGGGCCTCCAGGAAGTGCGCAAGGCCTTTGATGACAAGCTCAGGATCTCTCACAAGGTCTTCGAGGAAGATGATCTTCCTTTCCATCAGAAGCCGAGAAGCACCAGGAATACCATCTTATTTCAGAACCCCGGCAGCCCACAGAGAGTTTCAGGCTCTCTGGGAAGCTGTCAGAGGACCATGACGCCCCCCAAACTTCGCCAAGCATCACCTTGTGCGGAGATTGCTCCTGCTCCACCATCCAATCGCGGTAGCGATCCATAACATACCCTGCATGCTCCGCGTACTCTGTGAAGTCACGTGAGCTACATGAGAACGACTGGAACGCATGACAAAGCGAGGCTCATCTAGGCGCCCCGTCGAAACGTACAAGCAGGTCAAGTTGCCCTAAACCCTAAACCCTAAACCCTAAACCCTAGGAGCTGGTGTTCAGATTTAGGGAGAACCTCCATAGTGGCAGTCCGAGGCGAAGTAGTGCTCCAAGGCAACGCCTTTTCAGAAGGACTGAGGCACTCAGGGCAGCAGGAAGGAGACCCTCAATGTGACACCCGAGTAAACGACCCTACATGTGCTGCCAGGCAGCCCAAATCCACGAGCTCGGGAGAGAACTCGCTGTCGGGCTTGCTCGACATCCAGCGAACACGATTCCATATTTCGCGGTGTCTGCACAAGTCAGATTGGGGACACTGTGGCATTCCCAAGTGCAGCAGGACCCGGCTTCGTGTGTTCCAAAACACAGGGCGCCTAAATAGCACGTAGCGCGGGTCAGCGAGGATTACAACCATCTTTGCAGCGACGGCCAGCTGGTCGTCACTGGAACGTGGCAGCATTTTTGGAGGCACGAAAGTCATGAGACCTCAGTGCTGGAAGGCCTCAAACAAACGACTCCCTGGCTCTGGCTGGCAATCGGCTACAACAAAGATCCCCACTTGAACACTTGAATAACCACATGAGGGCACTGAGTAAGTGCTCATAAGTGGGGTATAGGTACAGTTATCATTGGTTGCTGTAATAAGTACCCTGAACCTCCAAGCAAACACTTGCATGCCGTGCAGCATTGGCGCCGGGACGAGCTCGGGGGAAGCTGGCCCAGAGCCGCGATTTTCGCCTCCCAAAGTCCATCAACGCATTTGCTTCCTGTTGGTTAGTAGGGAATCAGGGAAAGAGGCACCCTTTAGTCCCCTATGTATACAATTTGAGGGATTACATGGGGTACCTCATTCCCTCATTCACTCATTCCCTAACCAACAGTCAGATTTTAGAACGCCAAGAACATGGGGCGGTTTGTGGCACCTTGCATCAAAATAGCGGCATCAAAACAGCGTAATTTTGAAATGGGACTGCTCTTGCCAAAATGGGAACCCAAATTGGTGCGAATCTGCTTCTCCATGCGGCAAGAGCACGCGCTCGGTGGAAGCAGACATTGTCTCACAGCCAAACACACGAAAGCAGAAGCCTCGCAATGTCCTTTTCTGACCTAACATCAGCAGCCAAAGCACTTTCTCCCACCCTCGTAACCAGGTCTGGAATCAAACGCTCTCATGCTTGCCTTTCAGGAGGACAAACCTACCTCTGCAGATTTTCTCGGCCTCGCAGGCAGCGAGCTAACAAGCGCCCCGCCCCAAACATATTGTTACAGTAGCTGTCATCTTCCGCACAGGCCTGGAATGTTGAGACAAGCGCCCCGCCCGATGTCTAGAACGAGCATGTTGCCAGACGAACTTTCTGCCTTAGGCACCTGATATCTCGGATTTGTCCCCCATCTCCCTCAGTATGGCACGGGCCTGGCTTAGACCCGGCTGGCCAGCTTAGTAAGGGGAGATGCTCCTTCGACAAGCCTCAGAACGAACTCCGCGGCGAATTTTGATCGGGTTCCTTGCAGTGTGGTGCATTTCCTGAATGGTTCAGGGCATGACTCGCATCAGGCGTCTCGGCTCACATCCTACTCTGCCCTTCCGATGCCTTCTAGGCTCCTTGAAAAGTTTTTCGGCCAAACTCGCCTTGAACCTACGCAACCTAGAAGGGAAGATGCTCGCCACTAGTTTTTCGCACCGACACGCAGCGTCGTGGCCTTGGAGGCGCCGTGCGGCGCTAACAAGAAGGTCCCTTTTCTAAAAGACGGAAGGGTTCCCTTTTTGCTACACAGAAAAGACGGAAGGGGCCCCTTTTGCTACACAGCTTGAGAAGAGGGTTCCCAAATAATAAGAGACCATCCTTGCACCTCCAGCGGCGGGATGCGCACGCCCCAGGGGCCAAAAGGAACCAAGCCCTGCACCTCTCACGGACTCACGGAAGCGCCAAAGAGATCTCAGCAGGTGCAAGGCGACGCCCTCCTACGCGGCAATCCGCGAAGCACCTCGTCGCAGCGATGCTCGGCCAGCTGCATGAGACACTCCTCTCGGGGAAGAGAACAAACAAGGGGAGAGGGAGAGGAGAGAGAGGAGAGAGGGAGAGAGAAAAGGAAGCAGAATAAGCTGCCGGGCAAAAAGCAGACCAGAGAAGCCAAGTGCTCCTCCAGTTGGACCATATGCCCCCCGAGCTCGGGAGCGATGCAGAGCAGCGTGTCCTTCAGCTAAAGAGAAGCTCAATATCAAATGTCCGAGAGCCCCGTGAAAAGGGAGGCCAAGGGTGCCGGAGTCCTGTGCCTTGAACTCCAGCTTCCTGAACAGCACACCCACGTTCAGCAGCGGAAGGAAAGGTCAGAAAAAACAAAACCTGTGTGAAGAGGCGTCTTGCTGTCTGCTGTCACTCACAAAAAAAAACACGCAGTGACACAGTGAGGCAAGTGCTTGATGGTTTGCGCCACTCTTCGCGTCAGAGGCCGGGGAAGGAGCACCTTCCCATGCTTCCGGTACTGCAAGCCTTCCAGGAGGCCTCGGGGCACATCGCACGGCAGTGTCCTTCTGGTAAACATGACTCAACTTTGGGATGTTTCCCTCTTGTACTAGCAGCTCCTTAAGTAGGGGTTATAGTATCCCCCGAATGAGAATCCCTTTTAAGGACAGTTTGTATTTGTGAGTTTAAAGGGGGAACGGCCCAAACTCAACTGCTCATGCAACCCGTCGCCTGACTCGAAGCAATGCAGCTGGTCATCATCATCTTCGGGTAGGGCGGGCGGGGCCCCGGATCTCTGCCTGCAGCCCACTGTCCCTGGAGGGCTGGCTTCACACCGAAGGCGGCATTGCGAAAAACTGACGCAATCAAATCAACCCTTCAAGGCCCCGGCCTGAAAGAGTCCCAATTTGTGAGTGGCCTCTGCTCACAAGAAGGACAGCTGCACAGGGCATGCTGGAATGCCTACAAGGAAAGGAAGAGGACAGGGGCCCGCAAGGACGTGCCCGTGGTAGGATTGGCCCACGAAGAGCGGATCCCACGCAACACGACTGCAAACAGAAACCCCCAGAGCCACGGGCTGCTGTGTACAGGGTCGGCCTTAGGAACCCAAGATAAGGAAGAAAACGGTTATCAGCCGCCGCTGGAATGGGCCAAGAAGCCTTCGAAAATCTTCTGAAAAGAAGAACCGAACTTCAACCCAGCCGAGGAAGAAGAAGCACCGCCTTCAAAAGCCCTGTGGGCTCATGATGCCCCGAAGCCCCGGGAGCCTTCCGTTGAGATCCGGCTCGGGGGGTAGCACGCAGCAGACCATGTCCTAGGAAGCGTCGGAGTTTTAAGGGGCTTCGGGCTTTTGAGAGGTTTAAGGTGCAATGCAGCCCTGTAGCCTGCAAAGAACGCACTTGCACGGAGCAGGGCACAAACCTCAAGCCCTCTTGAGCCTCTTGGTGATTGAGGGTTTGCGGGGGTCTCGGCTGTGAGCTTCTGGGTTTGCCAAAGCGTGACCTCGTAAAAAAAAGAAAAAAAAAGAACGCCATGCCCTTCCTTGCGCAACTTAAGCAAGTTGAGTGCACGTCCATCACAGCCACAGGGGCGGATGGCATCTTGCACTCAGCAGCTCTTCTTACCAAGCAACTTCTGCAGACACTCAAGAACCATACCCATGCACTGCAACACCTACAAGCGTGACAATATGTTTAAGGCATTGAATGAGAGCATGGTGCACTGCAATCCGAGACGCCAAGCTCTACTCGCAGAGGCAGCTTGGCCGGGCTCTGGAAGTCTGGGCCAAAGCACGGCTGCGGCTTCGAGATCTTGGGCACGTTGGCGCGGTGCTGGAGCTACAAGAAACCAACCCCCTCACAGCTCTGACCCCAAGCATCCCCTCTCTGAGCCCGAGTTGCGCTGCAAGCTTCCAAAATCCAGCTTTGCCTCACGAGGCATCCAGAAGGGCACAAACAGAATACCGGCAAATGACCCTGTGATGGCCCCGCCTCTGGCTCGCTATTTTCGGCATCTGGCTCCTCCTCAAACCCAACCGTAGTATGCAAAACTACTCCAAACTGAACACAAAAGTCCTCGTCGTCAATTTCATCGTCATCTTCGTTCTCCGAGAGCAGCGCCAGCGCATCCATTGGAGACGAGCCCACGACAAGAAAAAAGCAGGACCACGTTGGAAGGCTTGGGGGCTGCAGAACACTTACAGGGGCCTTCCAGGACCTGTGCCAACCTTCCTGATGACCTGCCCCCTTAAACCCTGAACCCTGAACCCTAAACCCTAAACCCTGATCCCTAAACCCTAAACCCTAAACCCAAAACCCTAAACCCTACCTTTCGGAAGAAACGTGGGCAAAGCCATGATCTCAGCACTTCCTCATGGGCCAAGCACGGAGCAAACATTCGGCCATGTAGGGGGTTTCCGAAATTTTGGGGTAGCTTCTTGGGGTCTTACTGTAAGGGAATCCTATTGTTTGGGGTATATTTGGGTCCTTTCTTTTCGTAAACTCCCATGTAGGAGGGCGTTCACTTTTTCCTCCCGACGCCTCAAGTGGCGTGTTGGGAAGGCTCCGGCAAAGAGTCGGAGTTCTCCTCATGCTTTGAATCTTTGAGATTCCTTGAGTACACGATCGGATCACGACTACTCTGGTTGGTCCCGCACTGGAGGTGACTGACAAACACAGTACCCAAAACCCGAAAATCTAGACCTCAAGCCCTCCCCGCAAACGCAGGGTTTAGGGTTTAGGGTTTAGGGTTTAGGGTTTAGGGTTTAGGGTTTCGGGAACACTTCATGCCAAGGCTTTCCGCGCTCAAGGAAGTCGCCCGGGACGAGAAAACCCCAAACGAGTTTCAAGTTTAGGGTTTCGGGCTTAGGAGTTGTTCAAGATTTATGGAGCCTACTCACTCTGGGATTTGGGAATCCCGAAGCAAGATAGACCTCCTTAAACACACAGCAAGCCTCTGGCTCAGGGCTTTGGATTTTTGAATTGTGGGTGTTTTTCATTTTGGGTTCAGAAACCCCCAGGGGGGAGACAAAAAAAGGCTCACCGAGGGTGAAAAAAACGAGTGGCTTCCAAACAGACCCGACATGACTTCACGGATGAACGTACAGTCATGTCGGAGATTCAACATATCCTCGCATCTCGAAGAAGCACGTACATATGTACGTGAGTCAGAATACGCACAAATCACTCGGTTTCTTTGGACTCTCAGACAGGTTGCGTAGAAAACGGTCCTGCACAAAATGCGTTCTTTCTGACGAGCTTCCTCAAGGGTCAGCACATTTTTTCTTGAGCACTTGAGGGTGTGGTACTTATTACCAATCATAACTGTACTTGCACAATAACCCAAATTATAGCCATATTAGGGCACTTAATGGGCTTCAAAGTGAGCTGTAAGTACAGTAAAGCCTGAATCTCCAAGCAATGAGTCAGCGTGCAGTCTTCAAGGTGCACAGCGAAAAGGCTGGTCAATCTCAAAGAAGCGAAACTACCAACCCACCAGCAAATGCAAGCATCATCATGTTCATCACGTTATTCCGGTAAACAAATGCTCAACAAAGGGTTGGTTGCTGAATGCAGTTGTTTGTTGGAGCGGCCACACCTTAAACAAGCATTTTGGGTTCTTCAAAGGAATAAAGTGATCATCTTTACAGAAAAAGCTTATCCGCAATCAGATTCAGGATATTGACATGGTCATCATAAGGGAATTGCAAGTTGAAAAGCTGGAACAGGTCAAAAGGCCTACTATCGTTGGGTTGAAGAGCAGGTGTAGTGAGTAGGAAGGCCATAAGCTAAGAGGACGCTGTTGAGTGAGCGTACACGAGCATGCTTTCTTCGATTGGCAATCAGATTATTTAATTGATCTTGAACGGTGCGAGCCCGTGCCTGGATCACAATATCCGTGACAAAAATCATGGCACCAAAGGGACCCCGTGGGTGCCGAAGAAAATGACAAGAACAGGAGATTGCCACTCGTAGAAATGTGCTCGAAGTGCACGCTGACGGTGTGGAATGGGGTGGTGCTCATCATGCTGTAGGGTAAGTGTGTGAAGTTGACCATGATCGTAAAGATAGGCATCAAGGTGCTGCTTACGGACAATGAAAAGGAGGGAGTTCTTGGACTGTGATGCAATTCTGGCTCGTAACGAGAACTCCCTAAGTACAAGATGAACCCATTCGAGCCAAGGCGTGTCTTTTGGGCAACGCTTAAAGGTGAAAGAAAAAAGCTGAACAGCCTCAAAAAATGACAAAAATGCTGACACTTGATGAAGTGTTGTTGGCACCTGATGCTCACGTTTGGAGTTCCCTCTGCCCACAAGGAGACGAGTGGAGTGGAGCCGCTTGTTCAAACTAGCCAGCCGTGAAAACATTCGCCTTATCAGCCCAAGGCGGCAGGGTGCAGGTTTGCATCAGAGCTCCTTGTTGTCGCAAAACATGAAGGAGTTTAGCACCGTGTCGGAAGTGAGCTTAGTGAACATGCAAACAACATGCGTTTGCATGTGGGGCTTTCTAGGTCAACCTCTGGGCTTTAAACACTCTCCCAAAACGAAGCTACACAGTCGCAGACAGCTCGCACAACTCAAATGCCACTCAAGGTGCTTGCACAGCTCCAACAGATGCATAACACTTTAAAAGCGTGGCAACGCAGGAGCTGACCTCCACTGTGCATCCTAAGTGAAAACTGACAGCCCACAAAACGTTGACCATCTACAGACTTTATTCCCACTCATAGGACCAATGCACACGAATATTGGTATGTGTCAGCTTCTGCCACATTGCATTCAATTTACGCACCAAATCCTCCCTGTATCAGCGAATGCAACCAGCGAAAATGCTTGAGTACGGCGGGAAGAGACGGCAGTCTCAGAGACGTACACTCAACACCCTTCGATTTTTGAATCAGCTCTGACACCTGAGGGACCTCAATTACAGTGGACGGTCTTGGCAACTGCGTCGACCAGTCTCCTTTGGAGCCAAAAGATGCGACACATCCAAGGCCTTGGTGGTCCGAGAGCGAGATTTAGAATTGCACTGAGCCACAAGATTTTTAGGTTTTGGCTGCTCCGACATTGAGGACTTTCCCGCAAACACGACAAACCCACGCATACCCCAAGTTAAACAGCTTATGCGTAGAATGCAAGTCAGTGAAGAGTGGGCCCGGGAAACTTCTAGGCGTGGGTAGAAAGTCTTGACCTGTGCATGTGGCCTAAAGGGAACATTCCCAATCCAGCTCAAACTGAAGATGCAGACTACCATGAAGAAGGCCAAAATCCAAAATGGACTCCGCCCCGGCAGTGGGCAGTGACGGTCCTTGGAAGCTACCCCGGACCTGGTCAGCAATGTTCGTGGATTGGAATTCCTCCAATGGTCCCCAAGCAAAAGCCACACATCCGCCAGATTTTTTAGAAACGCCAGAAGATGGTTGAGGACCTCAATGTTGACTGGGCTTTGTATGCTCGTACCAGATTGGAGGTACACTGAGACGAGGACCAAGTCAAATAGCAACGCAGCCTCACCGCCACAGCGTGAAAGCCACATCCTTGAGTGGTCCACGCATGGACAAACCGCCCTTTTAGATGTCGTTTCAGCAAAACCCCCATGCCTCCTAGGGTGCCCTGTTTGGAGGTGACTGAGCTTGGGCTGGCGAAGAAGTCATAACCACACCTAGCGCACGCAACCTGTTTCTCCTTCAACTGGGTTTCACTCAAGTGCAATTCTTGCAGGAAAATGGCATCCGTCTGGGTGTTGACACCCCACCTTCTGACCTCCGGGCGACTTGGTCACCCTTGCTGTCAGAATTATGGAGAGAACTCTGGATTGCCCCGTGTCCGGGCTAGCCGCCAGGTCCTCAAAGACACCATGCAGGGATGGGGTACAACCCGGCGGTTTTGAACTCCCTCCAGCCCTAGGCTCCAGATCGCTGAAACTTGGCAGCCTCCCCCAGGTTCTTGCTGACTGCCTTCAACGCCTTGCATGTCGACATCTTCCTGCGGTATTTTGCGCTTGTGACTCTGACGTAAGTTCTCAGCTGCTCATACTGCTCTGGGGTAAACTTAACGCATGCTCCTCCAGAAGCTTCTCCATGTCTTGCTTCTTCAACCTTCGAAAGTGGCTGCACAACCTTTACTTGAAATAATTGTCGGGCGCGGCGGTTAACTTTAACGCTCAAAACGCTGCGACGCTCGCACGGCGGGGCTGCATCCCGTTACTCTTCGGCGAAGGGGGCTTCGAAGCCTTCGAAGCCGAAGGGTCGAAGGGCGGGGGGGGAGGGGAGGGGGTGGGGGAGCTGAAGGTCTGAAGGCTTCGAAGGCTTCGC